TGGTCCTGAGATCAGGGCTGATATTAAAGTATCAGATTCCTGACTCTAAATAGATTAAATATGTCAAAAATGTTTGAAATCATGTGCAGTAAAAATAGGAGACGTTTGTTGCTGACTGTAAACTTGATCTAAAAGCAAAAGCTTTACTAAGGAAGGAGATACTCCCAGGCCATGGTGACAGAGGAGGAAATTGAGTCACAAGAAGGTTTGAAAGTTGATAAGAAAGAGGCATTGTTTAGGCTGTTGGTATTTAAAGTTGATAGGCACTGGGACAGGATGAGATGCATTCAAGGATATTTAAGGAAGTGACTGGAAATTGCAGAGGCACTGGCAATAATCTTTCAATCTTTCCTAGAGTCAGTGTGTAACAGGACAAAGGTTGTGAGGATAAACTAACCATATAGACCAGTCTGTTCAACAGCAGAAATGGAGAAACACCTTGAAACAATTATTCAGGCTAGAATTAATAGCCACATGGATAAACATGGGTTAATTACAAAGAGCCAACACAAATTTGTTGTGGAAAATTGTGTTTAATTGACTTGTATTTTTGTAGAGATAACAGAAAAAGTTTGTGAGGTCATGGTGTTATGTAACGTACTTGGATTTTCAAAAGGCATTTAATACAGCGCCACACAACAGACTTGTGAGCAAAGTTATTAGACATAAAATAAATGGGACAAGCAACGTGGATACAGTTGGCTGAGGGCTAGGTTATAGAAACTAATGATTAATACTTTTTTTTTGATCTGATTGATTGATTTGGTTTATTATCACATGTACCTAGTGACAGTGAAAAGCTTTGTTTACAAGCAGTACAGGCAGATCATCGTAAGCAAGGACATACAAGATCATAGGATGAAAAAAGACTTGGACAGCTTACACCGGACAGGATATGCACTAGGCAAGATCATCATTAACAAGATCAGTATTATTTGAAGTTACAGAGTTCTTGAACCTCCTGGTTTGTGTTTTAAGCTTCTGTATCTTCTGTCTGATGGAAGAGGTTGTAGGAGTGTATTACCAGGCTGGGATGGGTCTTTGATGATGTTGGCAAGCCCTTCCACCTCAACAAACCATTTAAATGGAGTCCATAAATGGAAGGTTGGCTTCCATGATGGTCTGGGCTGTGCACACAACCTTCTGTAGTTTCTTATGCTCTTAGATAGAGCAGTTGCGATACCAGGCCGGATTGCACGTGGACAGTATGCTTTCTATGGTGCATTTGTAAAAGTTGGTGTGAGACCTTACGGACATTCCAAACTTGCTGAGCCTTCTGAGGAAGAAGAGGCATTGTGCCTTCTTGACCGTCGCATCTATGTGGGAGGTCCAGGACAGGTTGTGGGTTATCGTCACTCCAAGGAGCTTGACAGTCTCAACCCTCTTGACCTCCACTTCGTTGATGTAGACAGGGACATGTTCTCCTCCTTTCTTTCTGAAGTCAATGATCAGTTCTTCAGTTTTGTTGACATTGAAAGCGAGGTTGTTATTATTGCACCATGTTACCAAGCCCTCTGCCTCATTCCTGTATTCTGACTTATTGTTGTTTGATATCTGACCTACCATGGTGGTGTTATCAGCAGACTTGTAGATGGTGTTCTTTCGGAATTTGACAGCACAGCCATGGGTGTACAGGGAGTACCGCAGGGGACTGAGAATGCATCCTTGGGCGTTTCCAGTGTTGAGTGTTATCGTGGAGGAGGTGCAGTTGTCTATCTTCACTGCGGTCTGTGGGTCAGATAGCTGAGATCCAGTTGCCGTGGGTGGAGCTGAGACCTAGGTCTTTAAGTTTTGAGATCAGTCTGGAGGTGATAATGATGTTGAAGGTGGAGCTGTAGTCGATGAGAAGGAATCTGACGTAGGTGTCCTTGTTGCCCAGATGTCCCAGGAATGAGTGCAGAGCTAGGTACATGGCATCTGCTGTGGACCTGTTAGATTGGGAGGCAAATTGTAGGGAATTGAGGCAGTCTGGGAAGACTGGAGTTAATGTGGGCCATGACCACCCTCTTGAAGCAGTTCATGATTATGGAGTTCAGAGCCACTGGGCAGTAATCATTAAGGCACATTGCATGTGCATTCTATGATACCGGGATGATGGCAATCTTCTTGAAGCAGGTGGGGACTTCAGCTTGTAGGAGGGAGAGATTGAAGATGTCAGTGAATACCTCTGCCAGCTGGTCCGCACAGGTTCTGAGTGCTCAGCCGGGGTCTTTGTCCAAGCCTGTTGCTTTCCTAAGGTTCACTCCCAGGAAGACCGAGCTGACGTCTGCAGCGGTGACAATGGGCACGGGTACATCCGGTGCTGTCGGGGTAGGTGACACCATGCCATTGGCATTCTACTCACACTGAGCATAGAAAACATTGAATGCACCAGAAAGCATTGAATGCTATCTTGCCCTGCTTCATTTTGTATCCTATTATGTTGTTTAGGCATGGTTGGTTTGGGCCTCTAACTTGGTCCGGTACTGTCTCTTGGCATCCCCGATGGCTTTGCGGAGGTCATATCTAGATTTCCTGTATAGGTCTGGGCCTGTATAGATCTGGAGAAAAGTTTATAGTAGGATCAGTTTGGGACCTTTGCTTTCTATGATATATAGTAATGATTTAGATTTTGATGTTAAAATGACAATTTCCAAGTTTGCAGATAATTCAAACTTGGAAGTATTATAGATTGTGTGGACAGTTTAAAACTATGAAAGAACATTGACAAGTTGATAGAGTCAGCAGATGCATTCAATGCAAAAAGTGAGGTGCTACATTTTGGTAGAAAGAACATGGAGATGCAGTATAAAGTAAAAGGTGCTACCCTAAAGGATATGCAGGAGTAGAGGCACCTGGTTGTATATATGCATAGGTACCTATAGGTGGGAGGACAGGGAAAGTAAGCATACATACCTTTGGCTTTATCAATGGGGACATAGAACATAGAAGCAAGGAGTTTATGCTGAACTTGTATAAGACAGTAGTTATACTTCAACTGGAGTATTGAGTAATTCTAGGACAATAGGAACGATGTGAATGCATTGGAGAGCGTGCATTAGAGGTTTACAAGATTAGTTCTAGAGATAAGAAAATTCAGTTATGAAGGTAAATTGGAGAAATTCAAACTGTTTTCTTTGGAAAGGAGGTGCTGAGAGGAGATTTGAAAGAAGTTTTCAAAATCTTGAGATGGTTGGATAGAGTAGCTGGAGAAAAACTATTCCCTCTCATAAAGGGTTTGAGAATGAGGGGCATAGATATAAGGCAATTTACAAACGAAGCAAATGTGATGACAGAAAAATCTTTTTCAGACAGTGAGTCATTAGAGTTTGGAATGCACTCCTGGAAAGTGCTGTGGAGGAAGGTTCCATTCAGTCATTCTAGAGGGCATGAGATGATTATTTAAATAGAAACAATATGCAAGAGTATGGGAAAAGGGTAGGAGAATGGCACTGAGTCATGATGCTCATTCACTGAGCTGGTGCAGACGTGATGGGCTGAATGCCTTCTTCTGTAATAATTCTGTTATTCTGAAGTACTCTAGAGGAGTAAGTGATATGATATGAGTCACAGAAGGGGATATACATGTAGAATTGTATAAAATACTACTCTAGATGCATTTGAATGTTAACAATAATTACTTGCTTGATTTATATCTTTAGAATTATCCTCTGCTAAGCAGATATCATTAAGGAAGGAATTTTATTCTGCTGCTGTATTTTGTGATGTCAGTGTTAGATACACTTGAGAGATTTTCTGTCATCAGAAGACTTTCATTTTCTTAGTGATTTTCTCAACCTGAATATCTTAATGTTACAGTCAATTATGTAGTTTTTTGTTGCTGTTGAAAGTAAATATATTCTACTATGTGGGAGTGATTTTACAGATGAATGGTTTCAGTGAATAGGGTGCTCATAGTACCTTAGACAATGGCACTTTATAAGCCCCATAAAGGCTTTATCTCACCAGCCTCTGCAAATAAGAACAAGCTGCATCCTCCGAAATGTGGCATTGTATGGCTTTTATTAAGTCATGACTGCATAGGAGGAAGCTCTTAAAAGCAATCCAGTCAGTCCCATTCCCTTGCTCGATCCATATGGCTCTGCAAGCTAGTTTTTCTCAAGAGTTCATTCTACTTTTTTAAAATAATTGATCGTCTCTGGTTTCACAACCCTCATAGGCAGCAAGTTCCGTGTTGTTGTCATTCACTGCACAAAAAAGTTCTTCCTCACAAACCTCCGTGTTTTTTGCCAATATCCTTAAATTTTCCACCGTTAATTGTAGTGCCCTACGATAATGGGAACCATATTTCTTTGTCCACCTCCCCTAAATCTGTCATAATCTTTTACATCACCCCCTTAAACTTGTTTTTCCAAGGAGAACAATCCCAAGTTCTCCAACTTAATCTTGGAGTAAATACCTTCTGCACCTACCCAAGGTCCCTCACATCCTTATTGTGATGACCAGAACCACATGGATAACTCTTGTTGTGGCCTAAATGTAAATATAAATATAAATATAAACATTCAGCATAATTTATCTACTTTTGTACACCACACCTCTGTTTTGAATGTCCAAAAACCCATAAGCTTTGGTAACTGCTTTCTCGGGAGGTACTGCTATCTTCAAAGCTCCGTGCACACGAACTCTCAGGGTCCCATGTCTCTGCACACACTTTAGAAATGCCATTAAATCTACATTGCTTCTCCTTATACATTCTGCCAGCCCATCAGTATCCTGTTCAGTTTATTGATGACATCCTTATTGTTTACCACACATCCAAATATCCCTGTTATTTATATATATCAAGAAAAGCAGTGGTCCCAGTGCTGACCCTTAGGGAACACCACTATCTACATCCTCCAGTCTGAAAAATAAACATTTACCACAACTCATTTTTGTTTGTCCTGAATTCAGTTTTTTATAAATCAAAACTGACACTAACCTTTCTATTCCATGAACCTCAATTATGTTAACCATCTTCTTTCATGGTAATTGTTATAAATTATTTCTATGTACAGCCACCGGAAAACAGAAGTGAACTTCATTCAATAAGTGAAGAAGATATTCAGATGATCAGCGAAGACAATTCTGCACAAGCTGATATTCTCAGCACAGAAGAACAGGAAAAGGAAAGAGAAACAGAACTGGAAAGAGAAAGAGAACTGGAAAGAGAAAGAGAACTGGAAAGAGAAAGAGAACTGGAAAGAGAAAGACAACTGGAAAGAGAAAGACAACTGGAAAGAGAAAGAGAACTGGAAAGGGAAAGAGAACTGGAAAGGGAAAGAGAACTGGAACGGGAAAGAGAACTGGAACGGGAAAGAGAACTGGAACGGGAAAGAGAACGAGAACGGGAAAGAGAAAGAGAAAAACCAGAAAGAAAAAAAGAGGGACGGGAAAGGGCAAGGGAAAAGAGACAAGCATCAAGATACAAAGGTAAGAATGGCACATTTCATGGGTGCTGGAATCCCATTGTTTCACAAGCTAATTAATAAGCAGTTGATCTGTAATTGGGCAGCGGCTGGGAAAATGGGGGCCCAAAGGTACCTGATTTCCTGTCTCTTAACTCAGATGAAGAAATGTGTTTGTCCATAATTTCATGATCAGTGCTTCTTTTTGATGCTTAGCTAATCTGGATATCTTAAATTTGAGTGAAAAACAGCCAATTAGAGAAATATAGAGTACTTCAATTCCTTTTTCAATAACATACTGGCCAGAAAGGGCTGTAGTTGTGTTTCACATGGCAAGTTATATTAATTGGACCTTTATCTCACTATTCACTTCACATTTACTTTCAATCTGCAAATTGTTGGGATGTGAGAGTGATAATAGTGCAGTGATGTCAGTGTCACATGTCGGTCCTCATGAATGTCTTGCCTGAAGGCTAACAAAAGGATACATGAAATAGAGGCAAGAATAGATCATATGGCCTATCAAGGCTTGTCCACTATCCAATACAATCTTAGCTGATCTTGGGCTTCAGCTCCATTTAACTGCCCACTCTGCTGCACATGGTACTAAAAAAGACTGGAAACAGATGTCATATCTCAGTTAAGGTGTAACACAGAGATGTGAGTAATCTGTGAATGTAAGTCCACTTCAGAATAAAACAAAAATCCTTCTCACAAAATAGAAAAATGATTTTTGAACATGTCTTTTCACAGAAAATACTGCAAAGTGAGCAATAGTAACAGATTGAAGATTTTTGGGGTTCGAGGCCTTTGGGACTAACATTCCTTTAGGAAATGGGGAGGAGGGATGAGTGGTTGCTGGGCACTATAAGGATGGGAGGGCTTCTTACAGAATTAGAAGGTAATGTCGAGGGAAGTGGAGGGTAAACAACCCAATAACATCCATGTACATTGTAGGGTGTCAGAAAAATTAGTGTGAGCTGACCAATGCAGGCAAGGTAAGCATTCTCAAATTCTCACTTCATAACCAGAAGCATAAAGTTACAGCTCAGAAAGAGGCCATACAGTGTGCGCAGCAGCTAAATAAACTAACTGCCCATTCTAATCTCAGCTTCTAGTCTTGCAGATTCCAGTTCTTCAGGTGCAGATCCAGATTCCTTTTAAATGTGTTGAGGGTTTCCACCTTGACCACCAAACTGGGCAATGAATTCTAGATGTCTACCACCCTCTGGGTGAAAATAGTTTTCTTCATATCCCCTTTAATCCTTCTACCTATCATCTTACATCTGTGCCCCCTAGTAACTGACCTGTCCACTTGGACAAAAAGGTCTTCCATGTTCACTCAATCCAAGCTCTTCATTGTTTTGTAAACCCTGAGTATGTCACCCCTCAGCCTCCACTGTTGTTAAGAAAAAATCCTAGCTAATCTTTTCACATAGCTGCAATTTTCAAACCCTGGCAACATTCTTGTAAATTTTCTCTGTACTCCCTCTAGGGCAAAATTAGTCTTCCTGTAATGTGGTGACCAGCGCTGTACACAAAACTCCAGCTTTGGCCAAACCAGTGTCTTATATAGTTCAAGCATTATGTCCTTGCTTTTATATTCAGTAACTTGCCTAATGAAGGAAAATATTATGTATGCCTTCTTTACCACCTTATCTATGTGTCACGCTAGCTTCAGGGACCTGTGGACATGCATTCCAGGGTATCTCACATTCTGTACCCGTCTCAATATCCTCCTGTTTACTGTGTATTCCCTTGCTTTGTTAGTCGTCCCAAATACACTTCTCTGAATTGAATTGCATTTTCCACTTTTCTGCCCATTCAGTCAACTCATTGACATCTTCCTACAGTAAACAGCCATCTTCACTATCGACTACCCAGCTAATTTTTGTGTTGTGTTGTCTCCAAATTTCACAGTCAAGTTTCCCACATTTAAATCTAAATAATTAATTAATATTCCACAAACAGCAAAGGATCCAAAACTGAGTGCTGTGGAAAACCATTGGAAACCGCTTTCCATTCTCAAAAGCATTCATTGACCATTACCCTTTGTTTCCTGTCATTGAATGAACTTTGGATCCAACATGCCACATTTTTCAGTGTCCTTTGTACTTTAATTTTTAATAACAGCCTGCCATTTCAGACCGTATCAAATGGCAAAATCCACTGCACGACCTTCATCTAACCTCCCTGTTATTTCCTCAAAAAAATCAAATAAGACATGACCTTCCCTTAACAAAACGATGCTGATTCTCCCTGATTAATCATGCCTCTCCAAGTAACAATGAATCCTATCTCACAATATTGATTCCAGTAATTTACCCACCACCAAGGTCAAACTGACTAGCCTATAATTATTTGGCCTTTCCCTTGCGTCCATTTTGAATACTGATACAACATTTACAGACCTCCAATCCTCTGATACCTTGCCTATATCCAACTTTTCTCTGATGGACCTCCATGGTCCATGTGTGACAGTGACTTGCGATGCCAGATGTCAATACTGGGGAAAGTATCAGCACATTAATCGGTGTCTCTGGACCTTGGAGTGAAACAGCTTAGAGGGAATATTGCCTTCATTTACTGAGGATTGGAAAATAATCCTCAGGGCAACTGCCATTTTCTCTCTGGCTTCCTTTAACAGCCTAGTTTACAAATTATCTGACCCTGATGATATATCCACCTTGAAGAAGGTCAGCCCTACAGACCTTCCCTTCTCATTATGTTTATTTTATGTAATATTTCACACCCCTCCCCTTTAACCAGAATGTCTGCATAATCCCATTCTTCTGTGAAGACGGAGACAAAATACTCATTAAAAACCCTGCTCACATCTTCTGCAGCCACTCACAAGTTAGCATTTCCATCTTATCTACATGTTACATTACCTTCAGGGACCTGTAGGTACATATTTCAAGATCTCGTACTTCCTCTGAATACCCTCCCGTTTATTGTGTATTCGTTTGTTTTCTTTTTCTTCCTCAAACCTAAGGTCCAAACTTTTCCTTAGTTATCCTTTTGCATCAGATGTACTGATAAAACATTTTTGGATTTTGCTTAACTTTCTGACCAAGATTTTCTCGTATCCGCTCAGTGCTTTCCTAATTTTCTTTTTCACTTCACCTTTCTCTACATCTTTAAGCTTCCTAAAGTATTACATTTTTTGAGATTGTTATGAACTCTATTTTTCTGCTTTATCTTACCCTGTCTGCTTCTGGAGCAGCAAGCGACTCCAGATTTGGCAGTACCACCCATTTTCTTTGTAGGGACATGTCCATACAGTACCTCTAGAATCTCACTTTTGAATGCCTCCCACTGATTTGCCACTGTTGTTCCTTCAAGAAGCTATAACTGATTCTCTTGCCAGATCATCTTGCAGTTTGTAAAGTTTGCTTTCTTCCAATTTATAACTTTTACTCCCCTTGTATCTTTGTCTATTTCCATTATGACGCTAAATCTAACCACAATATGATAAATATCTCTAAAATGGTCACCCATTGCAACTTCATCCACCTACCCAGCTCCATTTCCTATGATTTAATTTAGAACTGCGCCTCCTTACAATGGCTCACTGTATGCTGGCTATTCTTTTGAATACCGTTTAGTTTGGTTCTTTCACACTGTCTCCAAGTTGATCTTTGGATGGTTGAAGTTCCTAAGCAATATTGCCCTGTTGTTTTTATACTCAGAAATTTCCCTACACATCTGCTACTTTAACTGCCTTCCATTATTTGTGGGTCTAAAGTACACACCTAGCAGTGTAGCTATCCCTTTTTTTGTTTCTGAGCTCAACAATTATAGCCTAAATTGATGCTTCATTTAGTATATCATCCTTCTCACAGCTGTGCTATTGGCATTGGGGGCAGTCCAGAGAAGTATCATAAAGTTGTTCCTGGGTATGGAGGGATTTTCTCATTAGGAGAGGCTATTTATTGGTGAGGTTGAAATGCATTGCCCTCACCAGTATCCAAAATGGAATACCGATTAGCAAGCACTGTAGACTCAGGGACTCGTGCACTGCATGGATCTCTTAGATTAACTGGTGGTCACCCGTTCCCCCTCTGCCTGCAGAAGAAGGCAGTTTACCACCTTCTCCAAGCCAATTAAAGATGGGCAATAAATGCTGGCCTAGCCAAAAATGCCCACATTCCATGAGTGAATTTTAAAAAGTGATTCCCTGTACCGTTGCAACCTCACAAGGCGTTACTTGCTTTACTAAGGGATTATTATGTTCAACACCTAAGTAATTAAGTCCTAAAGTCTGGAGCCATGGAAGGCAGTCTTTCAAAAACGCTGATCTTTGCAGCTTTGTTTCTGTAGAAACTAGGAGATAATGTCAACACAGTAAACGACTCGCTAAGTGGTGCAGAAGCGTACAAAAACGAGCATCAATGGATGAGGGTATCCCCTTCCTTCCTGAAGGTGCTTTTATCTCACACTGAGTCCTGTAACAGCAGGGCTTTTAATGATTCACCGAATGTGGCCTGTGCAAAGTTTAGAGCTTTATTGGTGCAGTGAGGGGTGTCATCCTCCTACCTCCTCATCAAGAACCATCCCAGGATGAAACTTAGAGGGAGGACATTGTGGACTTGTAAAACATATACGCTCCATAAAATGGTTAATATTTAATATTAATAATATTTAAAATCCTATTTGTGGTTGCAGGGTAGAAAAAACAAAAGATGCTTGTGCAGTACATGGGGGCTTTATTATTATGATGCTGTGCATTGAACGTGACAGTAACTAGTCTGTAATGGCAAATTAATGTGTTTTACCATTGCCATTTTATTCTTTCTTCCATTTATTCTGTCTTCCAACTGATCCAGATGAACCTGCGCAAGCGGGACCTTCCACAGAAAGCCCTGAGACATCAATGGAACAAGTGAGGAGGAAAAACAAGGCAGAGAGAAGGAGGAGGAGGCTAGCTGCCCTCCAGTCGAAAGAGGAGCCAACTATTGAAGAGGCCTGAGCATTGCAGTGTCTGTGCTGCATTTCAAAATGGTACTGGGGAAAGAGGGATCACTTGACCACAACGAACTTTCTTCCGAGGACCAAACCCTCCCTTCCAACTCCTGGCCCCTCTGGCTCTGTGTGACCTATGCGTCTCCTCCCTCGAGCTAAAGGGCACGCTGCTAAGAAACTCATAGTCTGTATCTGAACTACTTGGTGTAGAGACTCCCTTCCTATCATCACTGTGGGTGCACATAAGCCTTATGGACTGCAGCAGGTCAAGAAGGTAGTTCACCACCACCTCATCAAAAGCAAATAGGGATGGGCAAAAATGCTTATACCCAATGAATGAGTACATTAAAAAAGGACACTTCTAAGAAATGAGGGAAATGTATACTGATCCCCTGTAACATGGACAAGATGCAGCACCTGGCTTAAGAATAGCTGTGTGGAGGACCATGGAATCCAAGAACAAGAAACAGGATGAGTGAAGAGCATTGCGGGTACCCGTGACCTGCTGGTACGTTGACCACAACATGATGCTTCTCAATCATTTAAGGGGCCAAAAACTGGACCTCCTTTGCTAGCTTGTTAACTTGTCTGCCAAAGTACAATGGAACTGTAACTGATGTCCATCTCTCCTTCACTGCAGCACCAAATGCTGTGCGGACAATCCAGGGCCATGATGGACATGTTGATTGATAGAAAGGCATCAGTTCAGAAGGGCACATTGTTAAACTTCCAGGTTTAGTGCCAAATGCTGTTTTTTTTAAGGAGATGGATGCTTACAGTGATTCTCCGATGATGTAGCCAGCAGCTACAGGGATTATTGCCCGGAACCTAACTCCCTGATCCAAATGCAAAGGCTGAGCTATTGGCACAGGGTTTATGGATGTGGAGGAGCAAGCAATACGAAAATGCATAGTTCTTAATTCTTATTTGCATTAATTTCTCAAGTACTGTTTTTTGACCTGTTGCATTAAATAAAAACTCAATTTAAAATCTCAGTCATCTTTCCTTTTTTACCCCAACAGTGTACAAATTATTCAGCAGAAATACGTGGAATTTTCTTGTCCACCTCTATTTAGAAGGTCCAGTTGTTAGGAGCTGGTGCGTGTGGTGGAGGCTGTTTATAGTGTGTGTGGGGCTGGGTGGGGGAATGAAGCTCAGGAGGATGGAACATCTGGCAGCTGTCATTGTTCAAATACTTCAGCACAAGTTGTTCTGAAGCTGCCCTGGCCTCTACAGCCATGTCTTTCTCCAGAGACATGAGGCTTTGAGATCTTCCAGATGACTCATGATTTGAGCACCCTATAAGGCTGAATGGCCTGTTTTACTCATGTCAACTATTGGCATATAATTCCATTATCCCCTCCATCAGTTGTCAGGATGTAATCTGGCATGATCTGTCCTCTAAAATCATCCACCCACTCGTCAGGCTCTGGTGAATAAGTCATGGGCTCTGGTGAATAAGTCATGGATGTTGGAGTCATGAAGAAAGTCAGGACCATCACTACTTTTCCTTTTTTTTTTGTTTTTGATTTGTAACTGTGAGCTAACGTTGAGAATTGAACTTTGGACTTTGAGCAGCTGCTTGTTCTAACAAAGAACAAACTAATATTTATTTATGGCCTGGAAAGTTTTGTTTTATTCACTCATGGGATGTGGGTATCACCAGTTGGGCCAGCATCTGTTGCCTATCCCTCGTTGCCCATGAGAAGGTGGTGGTGAGCTCCTTCTTGAACTACTGCACATGCTGCAGGTTGACCCACAATGCCCACAGAGAGGGAATTCCAGGATTTTGACCCTGCAATAATGAAGGAACGGCGTTATGTTTCCAAGTCGTCAGGATGATGAGTGACTTGGGCAAGACTTTGCAGATGGTGGTGTTCTCAGGTATCTGCTGCCCTTGTCCTTCCAGATGGAAGTGGTTATGGGTTTGGAAGGTGCTGTCTCAGGATATTTGGTGAATTTCTGCAGTGCATCTTGTAGATAGTACACACTGCTGCTACTGGGCGGTAGTGAGATCATATGTTGTGGATGTGACACCAGTCCAGTGGGCTGCTTTGTCCTGGATGGTGCCAAGCTTCTTCGTATTGTTGGAGCTGCATGCATCCAGGCAAGTGGGGAGAGTTCCATCACACTCCTGACTTGTATCTTGTAGACGATGGACAGGCTTGGGGAGTCAGGGGGTGAGGTATTCGCCACAGTGTTCTTTGCCACTGAGCTGCTTTTGTAGCCACTATGTTTATGTGGTGAGTCCAGTTGAGTTTCTGCTCAATGGTAAACTCCAGAATGTTGATGGTGGGCAATTCAGTGATGGTAACACCATTGAATGTCAAGGGTGGTGGTTAGATTGTCTCTGATTGAAGATTATCGTTGCATATTATTAGAATTCTGAGAGCATTATACACATTTCAGCACCTGAGATGAATTATGCTGAAATTGTCCTCAAAGGAATAGTCTTTGTGAATCATGTTATCATATTCCTAATCGTAAGGATATACCAGTGTCCTGCTCTTGTTTTTAGTAACAGTCCCACACAACTCTCTCCTATCTGCAAACCACAATGCCATTATCTCTCCTGCCTGTGGGACAGGACATACCTAGGGTTGGTGATGGTGTTGTCTAGGGCATTGTTAGTAAGGCATGATGCTGTGAGCGTGATTACATCAGGCTGCTGCTTGACTAGTTTGTGGGACAGTTTTCCCAGTTTTGACATCTGCCCCCAAATGTTTGATGCTTGTAAGGAGAATTTTGCAGGGTCAACAGGATTAAATTTGGGGTCAATAGATGTTAAGCTGGAAAAGCACAGCAGGTCAGACAGCATCCGAGGAGCAGGAAAGTCAATGTTTCGGGCCAAAACCCTTCATGAGTGTCCTGGTAGTCGAATTGTTGCTGGACTAGTAATCAAGAAACTTTGTTAATGTCCTAGGGACCCAGATTCCAATCCCACCACAGCAAACGGTGGAATTTGAATCCAATAAAACCTGGAATTGAACATTTAATAATGACCGTGAAACTATTGTCGTAAAAACCCATCTAGTCTGGTAAAGAAGGTTTACATGTGACTCCAGAACCACAGCACTGTAGTTGACTCTTAACTGTCCTTTAAAATGGCCTAGCAAATTATTCAATTGTGTCAACTACTAAAAAGCTTCAAAAAGGAGAAAAACTGGATAAACCACCAGCACAAGCTAAGGCACTAGAAACAACAGTGCCAAATTTAATCCTGGAGGCAATAAGGACTGCAGATGCTGGAAGCCAGGGTCAATAGATGTGAGGCTGGAAAAGCACAGCAGGTCAGACAGCATCTGAGGAACAGGACCATTTTCTGTGGTGGGATTGGAATCTGGGTCCCTGGGACATTAACAAAGTTTCTTGATTACTAGTCCGGCAACAACTGGGCTGACAAGTGGCAAGTGACATTCGCACCACACAAATGCCAGGCTATGACCATCACCAATAAGAGACAATCAGTCCACTGCTCTTTGACATTCAATGGTGTTACCATCACTGAATCCCCCATTATCAACATCCTGGGGGTTACCATTGACCAGAAACTCAACTGGACTCACCACATTAACAGAGTGGCTACAAGAGCAGGCCAGAAGCTGGGAATACTGCAGTGAGTAACTCACCTCCTGACTCCTCAAAGCCTATCCACCATCTACAAGGCACAAGTCAGGAGTGTGATGGAATACTCCCCAATTGCCTGGATGAGTGCAGCCCCAACAATACTCAAGAAGCTTGACACCATCCAGCACAAAGCAGCCCACTTGATTGGAACTGCATCAACAAGTATTCACTCCCTCCACCACCGACACTCAGTAGCAGCAGTGTGTACTATCTACAAGATGCTCTGCAGAAATTCACCAAAGATCCTCAGACAGCACCTTCCAAACCCACAACCACTTCCATGTAGAAGGACAAGGGCAGCAGACCTATGGGAACACCACCACATCCAAGTTCCCCTCCAAGTCACTCACCATCCTGACTTGGAAATATATCGCCATTCCTTCACTGTTGCTGGGTCAAAATTCTGGAATTCCCTCCCTAATATCATTGTGGGTCAACCCACAGCAGGAGGACCGCAGTGGTTCAAAAAGGCAGCTCACCACCACCTTCTCAAGGGCAACTAGGGATGGGCAAGAAATGCTGGCCAGCCAGCAACGCCCACATCCCACAAATGAATTAAAAAGAAATTGACTACGTTGTCACCTCCCTTATATGTGTATTTATGAACTATATGTGTAAGTGGTTAAGGCTTAATGCACTGCTTGGGACTGTGCTAGAGGCAGGTTTAATCAAAATATTTGAAAGGGAGTTAGATAGTTATCTGCAAGCGAAGAATGTGCAGGTTTACAGGGAGAAGGCAGAGGAATGGCTTTAGGTAAATTGCTCATTCAGAGAGCCAGTGCAGACAAGATGGGCTTTCAAATAGTCAGTACTGGCATGGAATCATACAATGGTTACAATCTAGAATGAGGCTATCAGGCCCATTGCATTGTGTTGGCTCTGTCATGTTTATGCCTTCTCAGGTAGCCCTACACATTCATTCTTTTTAGTTAAGAATCCAATTTCCCCCTTATTATGTTTGGGGCTCTTTTGCCTTTTGTTTTACATCTATATCTTCTGGTTCTCAATCCTTCTCCCAATGTGAGCAGGTTTTCCTCAACTATGGTATTCAAACCTCAATGCAGTCTTCACAGGTTACTGAGGTAGTTTGCCAGGAGTATTGATTTCCCCTTAGAGGTAAGTACATGTTTTAAACATTACCCAATGTGCATCAATGAGGAGATTTATATTGTTAACATTTTTGCAATGCAGTGAATTATATTTGAGTTAGTTGTTTTGTGAAAAAGTAATGAAAAATGCAGAAAGCAGCAAAGTTAAACAAATAAAAGGAGACTTCATTAGACAACAGATTCACAGAAGGTTTAAGAGCACTCCTGAGACCATCATTTGGAAGAGGAGCTTCTTCCTCTGAACTTGAAACCTCCTCTATTATTTGTGATCAATTGCAAAGAAGTTGCAAAATTTGGAAATACTGATACAAAATCAGGACAGTATTGAAAACAAAGTGTGAAATCAGGACAATTCAGAAGTTTTTAAAAAATTTATTGATGGAATGTGGGTGTCACTGGCCAGACAAGCATTTATTACCCATCCCTAATTGGCCAGAGGGCAGTTAAGTATTAACTACATTGCTGTGGGTCTGGAGTCACATGTAGGCCAGACCAGATAAGGATAGCAGTTTTCTTCCTTCAGGACATTAGTGAACCAGATGAATTTTCCCCCAAAAATTGGCAATGGTTTCATAGCCATCATTAGACTCCTAATTCCAGATATTCATTGAATTGAAATTCCACCGTCTGCCATGACAGGATTTGAATCCAGGTCCCAGAACATTACTGGAGTCTCTAGATTAATGGTCTCACGATAATACCACTAGGCCATCACCTACTCTACTGTACAGTTGCATAGAAATAAACCATGATCTTTAAGCAATTTTTTTCCTGGTAAAAATATTCATTTATATGTATTAGATTCACAAAATTAATTTGCCATTGGTGCAACTCATTCATTATCAAGAGGCAAAGAAAGGAAATAATATAGTGTAACAGAACGGCAGCATGATGATGAGCAGGGCAGGGGTCTGAACAGGGAGCACCAGACATGAAGAGTTTGTTTTCTATGTTTGTGTTGTTTTTCTCTGCCATTTCCTGAAATCCATTTTTCCATCATACACTGAAAATATCTGGGAAGAATTATGTTATTTTGCTAAAATTTGAAGTGTGATTCTGTGTCCTTGTTTCCAGTTCAGAGGCCATTCTCAGAGTTAGAAATAGAGTTAGAATCAATCCCAACACTTGCTATTATTAAAATTAGCTCCCTCTCGAATTGGAATTGTAAAATTACAGATGAAAACAACTGGGAAGTTCTGACAGCATCTGTGGAGAGAGAAACATTTAATGTTTCAAGTCCAATGTAACTTCTTCGGAATTGTGACATTACCCCTACAGTCGATTAGTTCTGCATCAAATGCTTCCTTTTTCATGTAATAATTGCTAAAGCATCTTTTTAACAATGTAGTTCTACTATTTGCTCGGATTTATTTCTTGCTAACTTTTGGGCTTAAACTGCTACGTCTGCTCTGCATTTCAATTTGACCTTGGAACATTTTGCATTGCCACAGCAGGAAGGTTATAATTTTTATCATTTATTGTTATTTGTTATTTTAAAACAATTACAAAGTACCAGTAGTCATTATTGTAAAATATTGCACCATGTTGGTGTTTTGGAATTGTAACCATAAGCGTCCTAGCTTTGGTTTAAGTATGAAGTGTACGTTCTTGTTGATTTCGTTAAAGAAACCCAAAAGATTTTGATTGGTTGAACAATGTTGTGAAATGTCCAGTTTAATGAAACTGATGTCGTTGCCTATGACGCAGGGCACAAACGTTATAGTACAGAGCTTCAGCGAGGACTCAAGTATCTGTGGAAGTTCCTTTGGCAGGTCAATCATACTGCTGGACACAATACAGAAAGAAGATTGACTCCCATTCCGATTGTGAACATTTCTGATATTATTATGGTCAGTGTTTCTCCAGCTTCTTTGCTTGTTCCTTTTCTCTAAATCCACTTGTCTACATGCTTTTCTGCCTCTCTTCTGTGTGTAAAACATATTAATTCTCCTAATTAAGTTTCTTTGTGAATTTTGTGGCATCTCTCATCTCTTTTTCTCCCCACAACCTTCAGACTTTTAAAATAGACCTGGTGCTCCTCTGAAGTGTCATCTCACTATAAGTATGATCGAATGGCATTTGTACCATGATGTCATGTGCAGGGTTGATCTCAAGCGGAAGGATAATTGACCTAGAGGAAAGAGGGCGGGCTGCCTATCAGGATGAGTAAGTTTTTTTTAAAAGTAGATATTGTAATCAACCTGTTCAGACATATCTGACACACCTCTGCAGTAGGCAGGACCTAAACTGTGTGCTTTCTGGCACAGAGGTAGGGACATTGCCATTGAGCCACAAAACCTTTAACTTTGAAAAATAGACTTAGTTGGTTCCTAGGGTTCCATCAATTGCTTTGAGAATGATCACACTCTTGTTGGGGCCTTTCAAAAACTAATTTCTTGCATGTGTTTGAAGGTGGTGAGAGTGAGTGAATTTATAGTAGTGACTTGTGTAGCACTTTTGATGTAAAAACTTTGAAAATAATAAAGCGATTGAAAAAAATCAGATGACTAGGTCTAAATGAGGGATGTTGAGAAGATTTTTAAAGAAAGAGAGTGTCTAGGTACAGGGATGGTTTAGGGAGCAAGTTGTAGAAAGTGAACCAACAGATTGGAGTGCAGATATATAAAACAGCAAAAATGAGAGGACCTAAGGTTACACTGCAGGATGTTGCAGAAATAATGTAGGGTGAGAGAGTGGGGGATTTGAAAATGGAAATGTGGGGTTTCAATTTATTGCAGGAAGGAGCCAAAATAGATCTGCAGGCCCAGATAATTAATGAGTGGAAGTTGATGTGAGGCAGTACATAGCTTGCTGCATTTTCAACAAATTGGCGGAACGTTAAGGATGACAAAGGGATGGACTGGAATAATCAAGTTCATAGTTGACAAAAGACTAGATAAAGTTTTCAGCAGCAAAGAGTCAAGGTAAATTACTGTTCCAGTGTTCCTGACAATGGGAACATATCTCTGATACCAGGCTACTAATTCCATTTGGTTATTGAAGAACAATTTGTTAAGTTCATGTTAATTATTTTTAAAAATGTTTTCTCCTAAGTTGCAAATGTAGCTTTAAATCTGTGTTGGCATTTGTTCAGGTTAAGAATAAGGAACAGAGGACAAAGAATTTGGGCACAATATTCCACAACTTGGAGGTGGTGAGGAGAAATGATTGGGCAAATTGACCCTGGACAGATACTTGATCCCTTCATGCCACCTTCCCAATTAAGTGCTGGGTGAGAAAGCCCAATAGAGACTTTCTCAACTTGTCAGCAATTAAGTGGTCAATTAACTGTCAGCAATTTTAGAGCAAGGGAGTGCAACTTAATAGATCTTGCAAACAGCTCGTATCAGCTCTGAGTCAGGAGGACCTGGTTCAGGTCCTCCCTGCTTTTTGTTTATTCACTCATGGGATGTGGGTGTCACTGGCTGGGCCAGCATTTTATTACCTATCCCTAGCTGCCCTTCAGAAGCTGGTGGTGAGCTGCCATCTTGAACTGCAGTAGAGGTATGTAATAACATCTCTGAACAGGGTGATTAGAAAATATCTCAAACAGCTGGTACAGGCACAATGTCCTCTTTCAGTCCTATAAGATTCCACGATCAGCACTCATCCGCATAATCGAATTAGGCAAGAATGAGAGAATATTGATTGGGAGCAGCTGTTTGAGGGTAAATCCACATCTGACATGAGGGAGTCTTTTAAGGACCTGTTGATTAGAGTGTAGGACAAGCTTGTTCCTGTGAAAATGAAGGACAGGAATGGCAGGATTCAGGAACCTTGATGACATGGGAAATTATCAGCTTAGTTAAAAACAAAGGAAGCATACTTAAGGTCTAGGCAACTAAAAACAGATTAAGTCCTTGAAGAATATAGGAAAAGTAGGAAGGAGCTCAAACAGGGAGTTAGGAGGTTTAAAAGGGGCTATGAAATGCCCTTAGCCAGCAGGGTTAAGGAGAATCCCAACGACAAAATTTGAATATTGTTGAATTTGTCAAAGCTTTCTGTCTAGCATTCATGAGGATGAGGGAGAATAACGTTTTACATTGTATGAGAAGAGAGTACTGATTGATTGGCAGGAGGCACTGTGGAATGAAAAATAAGCACAAATGAATAATGTGATATCTGAATTTCAGTGCCAGTGTGATGCCAGGTATTTTGGAAAATTATGAAATTGAATTCAATCAACTTGATAATTTAGTAAGGTGAAATCAAAAAACCTGCAGAGTTTGTTCTGAAAATAATGCATCTTGTAGGCTTTATCTTTCACAGAACAAAAAATGTCAGTTCCAAACCAAAAGCTGCAGGTCAGCAAAACTATATTCAAAGATTAAACACAATTGTATGTCTCAATCACTGTGAAACTGATTTTTTTTTCACAGCAATCAGTTGTGAAGTGCAGTACAGCAACTATTCTAATTATGTTTTTGTCTCATAGAGTTTGAATTAACACCTGGTTTCCTAACACTTGCATGAAAGATGGGGAGTGTTGAGGTGAGTGAGTTGGTAGAGTTAAATATTGACATTTTCTTTATTTTCTTGACTGCAACCACAGTCAAATTATTCTTTGAACCATTATGGGTTCCATTAGTTTTATGAAAAAGTCAATAATGAATATTCAAGTTATATTTGGATTTCTGGATGTTTTTCACACAACTTCTTGCAAAACAATCAGCTTTGGAGCTTAGATTCAAATACGCTCTCTAAACTGCAACTCAGTCACAGACCAGGTAACATCCTGAGTTCATGCCCTGGACATGCTATGGTTGGTTGGCGCAGCGAGCTAGTTCATTTGTTTACAGACGTTTCATTACCCTGCTGGGTAACATCATCAGTGCAGCCTCCGATGAAGCATTGTTGTGTTTTCCTGCTTGTTATTTAAACTCTGGGGTCCATTGGAGTTGATTACCTTATTTCCGGATTTCCTTTGCAGTGGTGTAAAAATAGGGTCTAATTTTATGTGTTTATTAATGGCTTCTTGGTGGAGAGCCAGGTCTCTAGAAATTCCTGTGCTTGTCTCTGTTTGGCTTGTCTTAGGATCCTGACTTTGTCCCAATAGAACTGGTGATTCTCCTTGTCTGTGTGTATGGAGACGAGTGAGTATTGGTCATGTCTTTTTGTTGCTAGTTGGTGTTCATGTATTCTTGTAGCCAGTTTCCCTCCTGTCTGTCCAATGTAATTTTTGTTGCAGTCCTTGCATGGAATCTTGTATATTGTGTTGGTTCTGTCCATAGTGGGTAAGGGGTCTTTGGTTCTTGTTAGTAGCTGGCGTAGGGTTGATGTAGGTTTGTGTGCTACTGTGATGCCCAATGGCCATAGGAGTCTTGTGGTCAGTTCAGATACGTTCTTGACATACAGTAAAGTGATAAGTGTGTTGGGGTATACTGTATCTTCCTGATGAAGGGTCCAGACCCAAAATATCAACTTTCATGCTTCTCATGGTGTCTGACCTGCTGTGCTCCTCCAGTTCCACATTTTATCGACTCTGACTTCCAGCATCTGCAGTCCTTTCAATCTCCTAGGACACCATGTGCTTCATTAGCCACACTCTCAACATGCCCTACCACCTTCAATGACATGCACATATACACCCTGGTTCCTCTGTTCTTGCACATCGTTCAGAGTATGCTCATTGTTTTATATTTTCTTCATTTTTTAAAGCAAAATTAATTAATTCATATTAAACTGGATGACTACAGATATTGAGGCTCTGGTGAAGGGAAAGGAGGCATATGTCAAGTATAGACAGCTGGGCTCTAGTGAATCCCTTGAGGAGTATAGAGGGTGTAGGAGTACACTTAAGAGGGAAATCAGGAGGCAAAAAGCGGACATGGCAAATAAGGTTAAGGAGAATCCAAAGAGATTTTACAAATGTATTAAAGGCAAAAGAGAACTAGGGAGAGGATAGAACCCTTAAAGATCAACAAGGCCACCTATGTGTGGAATCATAGGAGATGGGTGAGATCCTAAACGAATATTTAATATATTTACCGTGGAGAAAGATGCAGAAACTAGGGAACGCGGGGTAATAGTGATGTCTTGAAATGAGTCCACATCATGGAACAGGAGGTGCTAGAGGTCTTAAATGCATGAGGTAGATAAATCCCTGGGATCTGATCAGGTATATTCCAGGACATTGTAGGAAGCTAGGAAAAAAATTGCAGGGCCTCTAGCAGAGATATTTGTATCATCAACAGCACAGGGAGGTGCTGGAAGAAAGGCTGCAAGGAAAAGCCAGGGAACCACAGCCCAGTGTGCCTGACATCAGAGGTGGATAAGTTGTTGGAGGGGATTCTGAGAGACAAGGTCTACATGCATTTGGAAAGGCAAGGACTGACTAGGGATAGACAGCATGGCTTTTTTGTGTGGAAAATTGTCTTGCAAACTTGATAGAGTTTTTTTGAAGAGGTGACTGTGAAGATAGATGAAGGCAGAATGGTAGATGTTGTCTACATGGACTTTAGCAAGGCTTTCAACAAGATTCCACATAGTAGACTGATTAGCAAGGTCTACTGGTGAGTAAGATCACATGGGATCCAGGGAGAGCTAGCCAACTGGATACAAAATTGGTTTGATGGTAGGAGACATGGTGATAGAGGGTTGTTGTTCAAACTGTAGGCCTGTGACCAGCAGTGTTCCGCAGGGTATTGGTCCTGGGTCCACTGTTGTTCATTATTTATAGAAACAATTTGGATGAGAATACAGAAGGCATGGTTAGTACGTTTGTGGATGACACCAAAATTATCATTATATAGCATAGTGACACTGAATGGCAGATGGACTTTAATTTAGATCAATGAGAAGTGTTACACTTTGCTAAGACAAACCAGGGCAGGACTTAACACAGTCAATGGTAGGGCCCTGGGGAGCGTTATTGAACAAAGACCGAGGGTGCAGGTGCATAGTTCCTTGAAAGTGGCATCACAAGTAGACAGGAGGTGAAGAAAGTGTTTGGACCTGAGAGGCAACTTGCCCCAGGCTGTCTGAAACTCCAGGTCAGGGCTAGGTCCAGGGAGATAAGACTTTAAAGTCTTGATTTTTTTTTTCTTCTTCTTTTGGATAAGGACTTTGTATTTTAAGATGGCAATGTAGAAGGGTGACTATGTACACTTTTCACTGTTTTCTTGTATTACTGTAACTGAGTACACATGACAATAAAATCTAATTCTAATTCTACTTCTACAATATTTAAAAGATGTTTCGACAGGTACATGAATAGGAAAGATTTAGAGGGATGTGGTCCTAAAGCAGGCAATGGGACTAGTTCATTTTAGAAAGCCTGGTCGGCAGGGATGAGTTGGACCAAAGGGTATGTTTCCATGCTGTACGACTCTATAACTTCACCTGCCACCCATTTACTCATCTCCCCAGCCTGTCTATGTCCTTTTGAAGTTATTCACAATCCCCTTCACAGTTGACAATGCCTCCAAGTTTTTTATCATCTGAAATTTTGAAATTATGCACTGGACATCATGGTCTAGGTCATGATATACCAGGAAAAGCAAGGGTCCATTGACTGCTTGGCAACTCTCCAGTCATTCTCTAGCCTATTTATTACCACTCTTTTTCCTGTCATTCAGCCAGTTCGGTATCTATGTTGCTACTGTCCCTTTTATTACAGGAGCTTTAACTATGCTCACAAGTCTGTGTGGCACTGTATCAAATGCCATTTGGAAGTCCATGTAAACCACATCAACTGAATCACCCTCATAAAACCTCTTCCAAAAACTTCAGCAAGTTAGCTAAACGCGATTTTCCCTTCACAATCTATACTGGCTTTCCTTGGTTAAGCGTCATTTGTCCATACACCTACTAACTTTGAAGTTGGAGATATGCTTGCTGAGCCGGTGGGTTTGGTTGCAAATGTTCTGTCACCCTGCTAGGTAACATCATCAGTGCGCCTCTGGTTACCTGGCAGGGTGACGAAACATTTGCAACCAAACCCACCGGCTCAGCAAGCATGTCTACAACCTGAGCTACCAATCTTCTTGAAAGCCTGATAACTTTGTTTTGAGAAGATTCCCTGTCAACAAAGTTAAAATGGCAAGCAAAATTTGGGGAAAAATTGGGGCAATCTTGGGAAAATGAAAACCAACAGGTAGAGCTGGATATTTCTTTATCATGTTATTGATTTGAGAGTCACTATTAAAAAAGTTTGTATCTTGTTTAAAGCAGATATCTGTTTTGCATTTTTCAGTATCAGGCTTCCTCCTTTAAATGTGCGTAATATATAAATGACTCATTCGTCACCAAGAAAGTGGATGTGGTAACTTTACACTAAATTACAGCATATGTCTCTGAAGGAATGAGGCATACTGCATTTTGTTTTGGTTATAGACAAGTTGAATGCAGCTAATCTATAAATCCATACGTAAAAATTTTCTGCTTGTGGGTGTACCAACACTAGGAAAGATTTTGCAGTTAGAAAGTAGCAGCCACTCCCTGTCAACTATACAGCTGTAAGCTTCAACATGTAATAGGGAGCATTCACCATTAGATTATTTGAACTGAATGGCGTCAACTGTGGCATGGGGATAAGATTCTCACCTGTCAGTAGATTATGGGTCCAAGTCCCAACTGACAGGATGATATTGCAGTCCAGTACCAGGGCAGTACTGTACTAGTAGAGGTGCACCTTATCAGATCAGACAAATAAGACCCTGTTTGTCTTCTCAAATGGACTTAAAACGATCCATTGCACCATATAAAGTGCAGTTCTGTTTATGGGTCGCTACATTTCCTTTGTTAAAGGACTGCACTTCATTAGTTGTGAAGTAAAATGGGATATCATGAGTTTGTGAAATGTGGTTTTAAAGTCTGCACTTATTTTAAGAAGAGGGCATCAGCTATCAGGATACCGATTGTGACCAATTTATTTTATCACTATCAGGGTAGTGGAAGTAAATAAAATCATTGGAATAGAAATGAATGAATCAGGAAACCAAATTCTACTTGGCCACCCAACAGGAAGTTCTTGCGATAGCTGCCATATGAAAATTTGCCATCATAAATCCATATCTTGTATACAATAAGATCCTGTCATATAAAGCATGAATACGTCTTACTATTCTTCAAAGTCCTTTTTCACAATTGTGGTAAGCTGTTGCGCAGTGACTTGTCAAAGACCTTGAGCAGAATTTTCCTTGCAGTCTTCAGGATTCCAGCATCAGTTTCAACTAGGGGTCAGAGTCCACGCTGCATCAGGAACAGTCACTTCTAATTTTCCTCAAATTAGTCAGTAAGTGGCCCAGAGGACAGGTTTGTGTCCAATTAAAGCCAACAGGAGACCCTTCATCCCTGAAGAAGCAACAGGATGCACTGGTAGGTAAATGAAGTAGTAGTATCCTGTTCCAATTTTTTAACTTTTAGGAACAAAAATACTCTGAGTAGTTAGACCACCATTCTGCAGGACCTCTAACCCTGCGTGGAGCATTGAGTCCTCAGCCTGCCATTAGATAAGTGTACTCCAGTGAAGTGGTGCTGTTTTTGGATACCTCTGAGGACTTGGAGGCTGACTGGAAAATTCCAGGGAAATTCTTTATCAATTGCATGCAGTTGGGTACCCCCACCACACCCCAATCTTGTCTCCAGCAAAATGGCTTGGTGTGGAGTGGTAACAAAAAACCAGAATGTTTGCTCGAGTCATGAAATTCCACACCACTTGCCTCAATATCTGGATCCACTGGCATCTCCAAATTCAGCCCCACATGTCAAGTTAAATTAACAAACAAAATTATTGGAGCCTTTTTCTGAATTATTAATTTACTTTAGGACACAAAAATCAGTTGTATAAAAAACTAAGTAATAGTCATTAAAGATTTTGAGAACATTTGTAGCTCAGGTTGTGGATGAGGTTATAGACTTGCTCGCTGAGCCAGTGTGTCTGACTGCAGATAATCGCAAGGACTGTGAAAAACACTACATAGGCCAGAGATAACAAGGTGTAGAGCTGGATGAACACAGCAGGCCAAGCAGCATCATAGGAGCAGGAAGGCTGACGTTTCGGGCCTAGACCCTTCATCAGAAAGCTCTCCACTACACAGGCCAAATTGGAAGAAATTGACAATAAGGAAACATGAACACCAACTAGCCACCAAGAGACATGATCAATTCTCACTGGTCTCAATACACACGGACAAAGAAGGACACGTATTCGACTGGGACAACGCATCCATAATAGCACAAGCCAAACAGAGATGTGCCAAGGAATTCCTGGAAGCCTGGCATTCCAACTGGAACTCCATCAAAAACACATAGAAGTGGATGCGATGTACAAACCACTGAAAAACAGAACCGGAAGTGATGCCAACCAACCCAGCAACTGGGGCATATAAATAACAAGTGGGACAGAACATCAACGCTTCACCAGAGGCACACTGACGATGTTACCGAGCAGGGTGACGAAACATCTGCAATCAAACACACCGGCTCAGCGAGCAAGTCTACAACCTCAGCAGACATTAATTATTGGTAGCTATTTATTGTCCTAAATGCCCTTGTAAGCCCCATGTTCTACTTTTATGGGAATGTCACTATTCAATCTCCTAAATTCACATTACACAGGAGTATATTTATTAATGGAGTCTTGTTTCCATCTAGATTTGTTGTGTCCTCGTGTTGATATTTAACTTGCAACTGGTGATGGGCTGTGGCTCAGATGAGTATGGTTTTCAGGGTCTATGCTGTCCCATGTGTCAAGCAGGTGAGAGACAACCACCTTTACAAATGAGTGTAACTACTGAAACATCTGTTAAGTATTCAGCTATTTCAACAAGTAGCAATGTCATGATATTGCTAATATAATAATTATGTAATAAATTAGGCTTTCATCCCTTCAGCAAATTTTGTGTGAATAATTTAAAACTTTTACGCAAAACTGGCTTGCTTGCTGAGCTTGTTACCATTTCAAGATATGTATTTAAGGGAATTGTCCAAAGTAATATTGATGGAACAATAGAATGCTGCAGCACATGTACCTAAACAACCAGGTGTACCTTGGTGTTTTTTTCTCCACAAATTAGCTAGTCAAAATCAGTCATCACACCTTTTTAATAGTCCACTTCTTTACCACCCTCCCCCACCCCAATCCCTTTTAAAAACAATTGATAGATTTTGTGTAAGCAGTAACTGATGGCAGAGAATTCTAATCATAGCTCTATAAGAACTCTTTTTAAAAAAAACTCCTTTCATTCTTATTATTTTCCCAACCTGCTCTCCAAATTTTTCTCCTGAAAGTCACAACCAACTAAAAGTGATTGTTATTACATCTTCACTTAATCTGTAGTTATTATTTCAACTCCTGTGGCTTGAATCTTTTCCCAGATAACCAAAGCCACTTTCTGTTTGTTACCAGGAAAATTACATCAGTGACCTAGTCAGGAGCTACATCCAATTTTACATTTATCCCTCTGATGGATGTGGGTACCGTTTTCTTTGGAGAATGTGATATTCTTCTGATTACATTTTCTGTTGTAAGATGTACTTCGCTGTTTTATTTGATTTTCTGCTGTGAAATTAGGAGAAGCTAACCATTTCAATTCTGTATCTCCAGCATCACATTCACAGGTATCACACTGATTTTTTTTTGGTTTTAGGTGCTCGTGTTTCTAAACACTGTACATCAGTATCACCAACTACATGTGTTCCCTGTGCTCGTGGAGCTTTCACAGACCGTCCAAATGGTTTAGAAAAGTGTATGAAGTGTAAATATTGCAACCCAGGTAAACATTTAGTAATAGCTGCCTCTAACAACTGTGATCTGAACAAAGTGGACTGATTTCCAAATTTCTTTCAAGAAGTACTTTGTGTTCTTTGTATATTTTAAAAAAGGTTAATACAAAGAACTAGATTTTTTTGTCCAAAGGTATTTTTGTATTGTATTGGGGTTGAAGAAGTCTTGTGACATCCCACCTCTGAACCAGAAACTCCAGATTAAACTTACTTTAGGAGTTGTTGGCCACAGAAGGTATGTTCATGTTGCCAAACAGGCTGTGTATCAATTTGTAAATCCTTCCAAAATATGTAATTGGTAGGGCTAAGAAAAGAGAGATTCTTGGTCAGCCAAATGTATGGAAAGAAAATTGAAGCCTCCACTATCACTATCTATCGTTCCAGACTACTATGTTCTTGTAAAAGTGCATGTTGTCACAGCAACTGAATTTCCTGGCTTGTGGTCAGCTCAATTGCCTCGAAGACAGTATGGATTAGATTGATCTCAATTGCACGGGAGTTTGTTCCCAGTTCAAGCTGGAACTGATTTAGGTCTTGCTTCCTTGCCCTATCCATGGCCCCTGAGGCATGTGGATCAAACCTGCCTTCAGATGTCTCAGGCACTTAACCATGTGTCTGACTTATACAGAAACTCAAGTCTACCGTTAATTTTTATTAGTTCCTCCAATATGGCCAAAGAAGTCTGAAACTTAATTGTCTAGTTATTCATATTCAGTTATCTTGATCCACTACACAAGCAGTAATTAGAGAATTTGGTGGGTTAATTAACAATTCTGAGAAAAACATTTGTTCAAGGCTATGTAAAAATATTTTTTCTATGTTAACACAGCAATAATATAATGATTTTTAATTGCATGCTTTCTCAAGTTTCATTAATCATATACAGTTTGATGAAATTAAGGAGCAGCTTTTTACTGTTTATGTTCTGCATCCAACAAAACTGTTATAAGGTGATAAAGGACTTATTTAAATTTTACTGATTTCTTTTTGTTGCAGATCTGGGACTTTATGCACGTCGGGAATGCACTGAAACTCAGAATGCAGTGTGTGACTGCAAAGAAGGCTACGTTTGCTTAGCAAAAACAAAAGATGGATGTCACATGTGTGCAAAATCTACGCCACATATTTTCAACAGAAGTAGAAATGTCAAAGGTATGATACTAGGTTGGCAACTGTTTCACAAGTGAATAAAGCAATATTTCAGGCCAGGCATATGTTGATTTCAATATCTGAGTGGTAACAAGGTTTGGTATTCATGGAAATTGAGCGTGATTTGTTTTTAATAACTCCATAACTGAAAATGCACATGGAACACATAAGCCAACTGGAGTACATCATCTCAGGTCCCAGCATCTATCTAGCATACAGAAGTAAGCTGTTTCAGACAGCTAAATTTTAGGTTTATCTTACTAGCACAGTCCTAAGAAAACATGAGTGGAGCAGTCCCAATAAGAAACTGCTTTTGGCTGCAATCCAATCCACAATTTACAATCCAGCAAGTTAAAACTGTTAAATGAGTAGTTTAGTCTTAAGTCAAAAATTAAGTTTCCTGGATCTTCACAAATACTTCAGGCTTCAAAGGTGAAGCTGAAAGCCCCTCTTTCAATGGGTTTCAGAACCTGAACAGGTTGCCCCACTGCACTATACTACTAACTAAAAGTCAAGTTCACTGATGGAGGCAACAGAGTTTGATATTCACCAATCCAAAAATTATATATTGTAGAATCTGAGGTGATGCAATTCACAAAAGTTTTAAAAGGAATATTCAAGAATAAAGTCTATAAAATAGGATTCCTTGCCCTGTTGGGAATGTTATACTTTGACATTTATTTGTTCATTGTTTTATGTATAAATGAAAGCTGCTAGCCTATCTCATCACCACTGAACTTGGTTGGTATAGTGCTACCAATATTCACAATGAAAGGCTTGTCATTTCTATCGAGGCTTTTTATGACCACTGGACATCCAAAGCTTTACAGCCATTATAATTTTTGTGTGATTGGGAAATACTGACCATAGCTTGGAATAATATTCCTGTTCTTCAAAATACTGCCATGGGATCTTTTACTTCCAGAGTAGAAGAGGCCTCAGCTTAATTTTTCATCCAAAAGATGGCACCTCCAACAGTGCAGAACTGTTTCAAAACTGTACTGGAATGTCAGCTTTTTTTTTCATATTTATGGACTTGAACCAGGACTTGAACCAACAAGTTTCTGACTCCAACTTTGGCACAGTTGACACCAAAAGGAATTAACAATGATGTCTTTGCAATGTTCTATTAATTCCAAAACTTTCATGAATGCTTGCACTATTAATGCTGTGACAACACCACCATGAAAGTTCATATTACTCTGGTCACAATTGTTTTTTAAAATTCATCTAGGTGATCCTAGATATCATGAAGCAAGACCGACGACAGAGTCCGAAATTATCCACAATGATGCCATCATTAAATTTTTAAGTCAGGATGACACAAGGAATCCACTGATACTTGGAAATAAAACTGCAAAGAAGAAACCTGTTCCTAAATCAGAAATAGCAGCCACATTCCGGAAAGAAGAGCCAATTCTAGAAACAACTACAGGGAAACCAAAATTGGGGCGTGGGCAGGATTCTTTACCAATAACAGAAGTACTGATGACATTGATGCAAACAATTGATCCAGCATTTCCAAAAGAGTCTTTAAAGCTGCAGGAGGCAGGGAACACAGCCATTGTAGCATTACAAAACTCTACGAAGACCAGCTTAGCAGGCTTGCAGAATGTTATGCAAATTGGGCTAGCGAGTATTCGAACTACTATTCAGTCTGGAATGGTAGGCCTACAAGGTACAGTGAAAACTGGCATGGTAGATATTCAGAATGTATTGCAGACTGGAATGACTGGCATTCAAGAAACCTTAAAGTCTGGGGTGGCTGATGTCAAAGGCATCAAGAATGGTCTCACACAGGTTGAGAACACTCTGAAGCAACTACAAACAAATTCACAATCTAACTTGGTTCAAATTACCAAGCATGTTGGTGCACTGGTCAATGTTCTGACAAAACTTGCTTCGAACCAGTCAGTGTCCTTCATCCACCTTAGGGATATTACTTGTAATCTTTCAAATAAAACAGTGACAAAACCAGAGATAAAGCAACTCCCAGTAACACCAAATTAAAGTAAAATACAAATAAGGCTCATGAGACAGACCTTGAATAGGTTATCAGCAGGAGTACTGAGCCTCATTAAGAATGCATAACAAAAAAAGTACAAATAAATACATTTCTTTTTGGGGGAACCCCTTTCATGTTGTATTTGCTTCCTGTAACATGTACACATTTCAATCTGACTTCTGTATTTTCATTTCTTTTCAATTCTCCAAGAGTTGCTTTTCACAATTTACTCTTGCATGTTGCAGTTCAAATAAATGCTACCACCATTTAATACTGCATGACTATCAGTAAACCTATCATATTTGAAAATATTCTGTATGTAATGCATATTATCAATGGGTTGTTGAGATGACCTGGTCTAAGTACATGTATTGTTGTAATAAATGTTTAGGACTCTCTAACAAGAAGTTTGAGTACTGCGTGATACATTGTGTAAGACAAATACATTATCAGACAGTTCTTGAATCCAAGATTTTATTTTCAATTTAATGAATCCATGAGCTGAATATTTTGCATCAGTCTACCTATGACATTTTAATTGTACTTGTAGATTTTCATCCAAGTATGCTCTATACTCTACACATGGAGATCTCAGGAAAATATATCGGTCAGGGACTATCCACTTTTTGTCTCAACTTGTCACTTTTCCCTTTCATCTGTTTTTCCTAAAGATCCTGGGGTATTGATTGTACCTAGTATGAAATGAAAATGTTTCATAAACTTCTTTCTTTTCTATTCCTATTGTGCAAAATTGTGCCAACAGTGGAATAGAATCAAGAGGACAATGATTCTAAATAGAGGAGAGTCAAAATAGTATAATCAAAAATGGCAAATAGGTGTGATCAGAACTCAAAGAGGTGGGTGCAAAGAGGGATAAGAGGGCAAAGGTTTGTTTCTGCACCTGATTTTCTCACTATTTCTATGAGAGAAGCCTCAAATTACATTATAGAGCTAAGCATGACAAGTTGAGAAAACAACTGAGTGACCTGCTAAGCACTACGGGAAAGCTGTCAAGAGCACTTCATTGAACTCTAGCTGCATGATTTGCTATTCACTTCATCCATGTATGTTCACACAGCCTCCTCTTGAACAAATCAACTACCCCTTTAAATACATGATCTTGAACATGAGTAATTAAACTAAAACAGAGAAGTAAGAAAAGCATTAGAGCAGGACAGATTAGAATTTGTGGTCAGATATGCATTCTTGGTACAAATGCGTAAACTATGTAACAACCAACAATGTATAGCAGGCACAAATACAAGTGGACAACAAGACATGGTAGCCATTGACTACAAGACAGCCAGGGTGGGAAGTTAAATGTATCAGGCCAAAGGTGTTCATTAAAAATAGATGAGAAAAATAGTAGTGGGGAGAAACTTTAGTGATTAAGAATGAAATCAAAGTAATAATATAATGAAAGCTCAGCAGACAGCAGAAGATTTATGGGTAGAAAGATAGAAAGGCATTTAATAGTAAGGGCTAATGAAAAAAAAACTCATTTTGTTGAAGGATTATCATCTTGCACAGATCAGGACATTCATACAAACTCCATTTCAAATTGAAAGCCTATTTAGGATTGTCATTCAGGCTTGTAGAGTGGTGCAACTGCATGTACTGGAATCTACAACAAATACTTTATTGTTTGCAGCCAAAAAGATGTACTTATTTCACAGCACTTGTTTCAACTCAACACAGGTGACAGCCCTTTACTGGTTCTTTCGTCAGGGCAATGGCCCGACCAAACGAAGTCAACCTGCCTGGTTCAAAATTTAAACTGTCAATCAGCATTAATGGGTACATTATCCATGGCAAAATCTCTTCCAATCAGAGTCTACTTGGTATACAGTCAGCATTCTTATCTCATACCAGGCAAACGTTGGTTTTCCCCTTGAATCTGTATTCTTGTAAAACGTTCTCACCTGTGCAAAATGAAAAGCTTTTGACAAAATAAAGTCATAGAGTCACACAACATGCAAACACACACTTTAGTCCAACTCATCCATGCTGATGAAGTTTCCCAAACTAAACTAGCCCCATTTACCTGCGTTTGGTCCACATTCCTTTAAACCTTTCATATTCATGTACGTGTCCAAACGTCTTTTAAATGTTGTAACTGTACATGCATCTACAACTTACCCTGATAGTTCATTCCATATACGAACCACCTTCTGGTGGAAAACACTGCCCCTCAACATCTCTTTTAGATTTTTCTCCTCTTACCTTAAAATTATGCCCGTTGGTTTTGAACTCTCCCATCCTGGAGAAAAGAGCTTTGCTTTTCACCTTATTTATATCCCTCATGATTTTACAAACCTCTATAAGGTCACCCCTCAACCTCCTACATTCCAGTGAAAAAAGTTCAAATCTATCCAGCCTCTCCTTATAACCCAAACCCTCAAGTCCTGACAACATCCTTGTAAATTTTTTTCTGTACCCTCTCCAATTTACCAATATCCTTCCTATTGCAAGGCAATCATAACTGTACACAGTACTCCAAAAGTGGCCTCACCAATGTCTTGCACAACCAGAACATGATGTCCCAACTCCTAAACTCAATGGTCTGAGCAATGAAGGCAAGTGTGCCAAATGCCTTTTTTACCACTCTGTCTACCTGTGATGCAACTTTCAATGAACTATATACCTGGACTCCGCGGTCTCTCTGTTCAGCAATACTTACGTTGTGTACTACCAAATGACTACTTAGATTTAACAATAGTAGGATTTGTATAAGCTGTGAAGTGGTAAAATGTATGAATGAAGAGCTTAGACAAGCATGTAGCAAAGGCAGATTGGCTTCAGTGGAGAGCTTTAACTTTCATGGATATTGGAATAAGCAAACTAGCTCACAGGAGAAGGTAGTAAATTTCAAGTTATGTTCGACATAGTTTTCTGTAGCAATATATCCTCAAACTAGCAACAGAGAAGGCCATATTAAATTTAGTAACTGATAACCTGACAGGTGGATAAATATTTACCTAGTAGTAAGCATTAAATATAAATGCAATACGGTATATAGAAAAAAGACATGCAAAACGTTTACGAGAACCTAGGCTTAGGTAAAGCTGCTTTCAGTGCAATTGGACAGAGGCTTTCCACAGTAAACAGTGCAAATACCTTCATGGGTAGAATGAAGATGATCAGTGGACAGGTGTTCAAAAACAAGTTTATTCCCCTAAAAGGCAGGAGTATTTCTCGTCAAAAATATCCACAGACAACTTAAGAGGTAAAGAACAAAATAAAAACAAAAGTAAAATGTGAAAATGGCATTGATCCTGGCAACTGGGAGAGATGTCCAGAACCTAACTTGCAAAAGATGTCAAAATCAACATATCTACAATTAGACATTGTGGATAATCAGGTGCAATGTGGCCCCTTGAAAACTGAAATTGGGATATTGTTAATGGCGGGTTTGCTGTGTAATTACTTGATATCAGCATTTATAACAGAGAAAGAGGATGACTTGCCCACCATTCGTGAATCTGAGCAGACTCACCAAAATTAACATGAGAAAAAATGAGAATAAAGACTGCTGAATTCCCAGAAGTGGATTTTCATTTCAGGTTTTCAAGGAAGTAGGTGAGAACGTTGTAGGTATCCAAACTATGTCAATGCAAATCTCTCTTGATTCAGGAACAGTCCCTTTAAATGGAAAAATCAATATTTAAGTAAGGTGAGCAACAGAAACCAAGGAATTATAGACCAATTAATCTAATATTTGTTGTTGGTAAGTTACTAGAGTCCATTACTTAGGATGGAATAACAAACACCGTAAACGCTTTTAGTTGATCAGAACAATCATGCATGTGTAAAGCAATACCACACTTGATGAATCTAATATTTTTGAAGACCTAATTAAATTTAAAATGTCAGCTAACTCAAATAGAAGGATAGCCAGAGAATGGTACAGAAAAATACTACAGCCTGGGCTCAATCACTGCAGTGGCTGTGGTAGTTCTCAGCAGCTGCCTCACTGAGTCAAATAGTGCTATGGTCTACACTTTGATTTGAAACCTTTGGTTAACACAGACACTACGCGAAGAGACAGATTAAATTTCTGACAGGAGAATACCAATGGATGTTAAGTCCTTCACAAGAACTTACAAATTGTATGGAACAGAGTCCAAATTATTGCAACACGGAGACAGACAGCCGAACCAAATCAGACTTCCTACCTCTGTATTTGCAACTCAGTAAAATTAAAGCTTCAAAGACCCTTAAAACTGACCCAATGGTTCTTGACCAGACTTTAATAACCAATCCCAGACTCTGCGAATCAATTCCAGATGACGTTTGCATCTTAATCAAAAGACCCATCAATTTATTAATACCATAACTTCCGTAGAACAAAATTAAACAACAAAGTAATCTACTGATTTAGCTCTAAACCCAAAATTCATTCTTTTCAGCTCTAGTCACACAAAGGATGAACAAGCAAACACTGTTAAGAAAAAAGAAAATAACAAAACTGGCCAGATTACTGAAGTGGTTTTCATGATGTATTATTCTGCAGGCGTGGTTGATGATTGCTTGGTTGATTTTCTGAAGATGTCAAACAAGGTCACCTTTAAGTTCACTCAGATAAAGGGAGAACTGCAAACGTTTTACTAAACAACATCTAGGGGACCTGGAGTGTGCTGGTTGATCAAGAAGGCAGCTTACCACCACCTTCTCAAGGACAACTAGGGATGGGCAAGAAATGCTGGCCAGCCAGCAACGCCCACATCCCACAAATGAATAGAAAAAAAAATTCCCGTTGATCAAGAAGTCCACATAATCAATGTAAAAACACAGACTTAGTAATAGAAACGTAAAGCAGGGGTTTACACATACTGTTATACATTATTTACAGCATTAATCACTTAAATAATAATGCAACTTTGCCCTAATTAAAACTTACCAGCAGAGAGCCTTCTTACTCCAGGCAACTGAGTAGTTGGAGATTGCGGAGATTGTAACAACACAATAAACGTCTGGTATTTTGAGGTATATAATTTTATCAAGAGTGCCAGTTCATAAGGTGCTGGTTAAAACAAAGTTTGCTGTAATACTTAAGGTGTCCTATTCTCTAAACTGCCACGAGTTGATAAGACAGCTTAGGAAGGGAACTTTCAATTTCTCATGCCATATCATCAACAGCCAGAGTACTGTTCACAGAGAACATCCAAAATCCAATTCAAAATCTCACTAGGCCCTGTCAGACTGATCATTTCCTCAGGTCCCAGTTACCATTCAACATTTGCCATCAGCTTAAAGGCTTTTCCAGGCTTGCTAAAACTAATTCCCTGGTACTGATGTCGTTAATAGCCAACTTCTCAAATTTTCAAAATGGCGCCGTAGTGCGGTGACATCTTGCGAGCTGTTCACAGCAGATCTTATTCTTATATATCTTATAATTGTTCGAAACCTCAATTCTAAGTTAATCAGAATTACTAACAATGTTCTCTTAAATCTACTTTCAAGTGTAAAGATTCTAGGACTGATGAGGCTTAAAAACTGATGATGCTGGAACCACAACCCCAGGAGAATTAAGAGCCTACCAGCTTCCCAGAAGCCCAATCTCCTCATGGAAACCCAGAATAAGACCTGACCAGTGCAGGAACAAGACGTAACCCTACGGTGACCCAACATTGAGAAGGCCTGACCAAAATGACTGCAAGACCCTCTGGAGCGCATGTGAACGAGATTAATGCCTAGAACCCCATCAAAAGCACCTTCTTACATCGCCAAAGTGGGACCGCAAGCCCAGAGACCTTCTGGCCTCTTGAAGGCCCAACCTCATGCAAACCTGGACCCAAGGCCTAACCAGCGCTTGAACAAGACCTGAGCCCATGGTGACCCAATATCAAGGAGGCCCAACCAAACCGACCACAAAACCCCCCCCAGAGCACTCAAGACCGTGACTGGTGCACAGGACCCCACCAGGAGCACACACTTACCTCTTGGAGCAGCAGACTTCCCTCACCAATGCCCAGGGTCAACTAGGAGCTGCTACCTACTAAGAAAACACTGGAAACGCGCTGGACTTCAGATAAGACTGAACTTCAGGGTTTCAAGGGCCGCCCTCCCCAGTGTACTCCTGGCAAACGTCCAAACCATTGAGAACAAAATAGATGAGCTTCAAGCTAGACTCACTTTCCAGAGGGAATTGAAACTGTTGTGTGTTCTGTTTTACAGACATGACTCACTCCTGCTACACCTGACTGTACGTTACAACCTGAGGGTTTCTCAGTTCACCAAATGGACTGCTCAGTGCGCTTGGGCAAAGCAAGAGGCAGTAGGGTCTGCATCCTAATCAACACTTCTTGGAGTTCAGACATGGCGACCCTGGCAAGTTACTGTTCCCTGGTCCCAGAATATCTTAAAGTGTGAGCCCACTATCTGCCGCAAGAGTTCACCTCCACTATCCTGATAGCAGCCTACATCCCACCCCATATGGAAGTGAAGAGTGCACTTGACGAAGTATACAACGCTACAGTCTTGAGACAGAATAGCCCGAGGTCTTGTTCATCGTAGCTGGTGACTTCAAACAGGCCAACCTCAAGAAGGTGCTACCAAAATATTATCAACACGTCCTCTGTCCCACCAGACATTCGAACATCCTTGACCATTGCTACACAACCAAAGATGCCAGCTGCTCCATTCTCCATCCGCATTTTGGAAAAATCAGATCACAACGTTGTGTTCCTCCTCCTGGCTTACAAGAGGAAATTGAAGCGTGAGGACCCAGTACAGAAAGGTCTGAGGCAATGGAACAGCTTCTATGGGACTGCTTAGACTTGTTGGACTGGTCAATATTCAAGAATGTATCAGCCAACCTAGACAAGTTTTGCACTACAGACTTCATTGGTAAGTGTGTATAAGACTGCATGCCGAAGAAATTCATCCAAATGTTCCCCAACTAGAAACCATAGATAAACCAGGGGATCCATTCCCTACTAACATCCGGGTCTGAAGCATACAAGTTGGGCAACCCTGACCTACACAGGAAATCAAGGTATGACCTTCGTAAGGCCATCAGAGACCCCAAAAGGCAATACCAAACTAAGCCTGAGACCCAAACGAACCACATGGACACCCGTTGTTCGTGGCAAGGCTCAAAACGACATAATGTGCTTCAAAATGAAGTCAAACAGATTCGCGGACAACAGTACATCCCTACCCAACGAGCTCAATGCATCTATGCTCGCTTTGAACAGAAGGTCAATGAAGTGATGTCATCTATCCCAACAGCTTCGGCTGCACTTGGACCCACTGTCACTGCTGCAGACGTTAGATTGGCCTTCTTGGGCGTGAACCCATGGAAAGCAACTGGCTCAGATGGAATCCCTGGCTGTGCACTCAGATCCTGTGCGGACCAGCTGACGGGAGTATTGACAGACATCTTTAACCTCTCCTCGCTACAATCTGATGTTCCCACCTGCTTCAAGAAGACCACCATCATGCCGGTGCCAGAGAAAAATCATGCAGCATGCCTAAATAACTACGGAACGCATTGAGAGGTTAGTCATGGCTCAAATCAACTCCAGCCGATCAAGTTGCCTTGATACTTCGCAATTCACTTACCAGGCTTCTACTTATTGACGACAGTTCTGTCTTCAACAACATAATTCAAAACAATCTCATCTCCAAACTCTGAGATCTAAGTCTCGGTTCCTCCCCTACCCCGTAACTGGATCCTTAATGTCCTGATCCATAGACTGCAATCAGTAAGCATACGTGACAACACCTCCTCCACCATAATCTACAGCACTGGTGCCCCATAAGGCTGTGTATTTGGCCGCCTACTATACTCCTTATACACTCACGGCTGTGTGGCCAAATTCCATCCCAACTCCATTTACAAGTCTGCTGACGACACGACTGTTATAGATCAGATCTCAAACAACGATGAGACAGAATACAGGAGACAGATTGGGTGCTTAGTAGCAGGGCATAAAGACAACAATCTCTCCATCAACGTCAGCAAAACGAAGAAGTTTTCATTGAATTCAGGAAGCTAAGTCGAGGGTATCGCCCTGTCTGCATCAATGGTGCTAAGGTGGAGATGGTCGAGAACGTTAAGTTCCTGGGAACGATGATCACCAACAATTGTCCTGGTCCACCCACGTCAACATGACAGTCAAGAAAGCAGAAAATTGTCTCTCCTTCCTCAGCAGGCTAAGGAAATTCAGCCACAAGGACGCTTACCAGTTTTTATAGATACACCACAAAAAGCAATCTATCTGGATGCATCACAGCATGGTATGGCAATTGCTCTTACCAAGATTGCAAGAAACTATAGAGAGTTGTGAACACAGGCCAGTGCATCACGGAAACCAGCCTTCCACCGACTCCATCTATACTTCCTGCTGCCTCGGGGAAGCAACCAACATAATCAAAGACCCTCCTAATTCTGGTTATACACTCTTCAACCCTCTTCCATTGGGCAGAAGATATAAAAGTTTGAATACACGTACGAACGGATTCACGAACTGTTTCTTCCACTTTGAACTGACCTCTCAAATGTTAATTTTGATCTCACTATCTGCATCTTCTCTGCAGCAGTAACACTGTATTCTACACTCTGTTCTGCTATCCTGATGCGCTTGTATGGTATGATCTGCCTGTATAACATGCAAAACATCGGTATATGTGACAACATTAAATCAATCAATCAACTTCTGCTATGTTTATAAACATAATGCTCTTTTCCAGTGATAAAACATCTGTAGAACTTTTTGATCAGGAGTCAATCTGCAATTAACCTCCAGGCCTGGCCTTATGAATAAACAAAAGTTTGTTTGGTCTTTTTTCCTTTTAATATAAATTGTTATTCGCAGCCCAAAAGTTATCTTTAGCTCCCAGTTCTCCATCCAAATCAAAACTGACAAAAGAATAAAATTAAAATAATGAAAGGTCAACAAGTGCTGTAACAAAATTAAATACATAACTTTGCAGAATGCGAATTGTGGCATCATTCAAGGATGTGTGTTGAAGCATCAACTATTTATTGTGTCTACTTAAGCATTAAATGACAGGATAGCAAATTACATACTCAAGTTTGAAGATTACAAATATAGATGGCATTATAAACAGAAGCACTGTGTTACAAGAGACATTAATAGATCAAGTTAAGAAGCAAAACTGTAGAAAATAGGTTTCAATATGGACAAATGGGAGGTCATTCACTTCAGACCTAAAAAGAGACAAATAGACTACTTCCTAAATCATGCAAATCCAGAAATAATTGAAGTCAAAAGAGTCACTGGGGTTCATATGCACAGATCATTCGTGAAAGTGAAAACTACCATAATCCCAGAGGACCATAGAGATGACTGGTACTGAAGTTAACTTGACAAGAGGTGAGGTTGAAAAGGCAGGACTTCCACGGTGACCTCATAACGACAGGTACAGAAAATAACCAAAAAGGCTAGTTGAATGCTGGTCTTTATATCTAAAGAACTGGAATATTAAGACAGTGTAAGTTATGCTTCAGATATACAAAATCTTGGTTACAGCATACTTAGCACATTTAGAGAGGATCTGGGCTTTATACCTTTAGAAGGATACACTGGCCTTGGAAGGAATACAATACAGACTGACCAGAATGGTGTAGAGCTGGATGAACGCAGCAGGCCAAGCAGCATCATAGGAGCAGGAAAGCTGACGTTTCAGGCCTAGACTCTTCTTAAAAAAACTTTGGCACATGGGAGGTCTAGTTTTTGGGGACATATTCCATAAATGAGAGCCAGACCTTTAAGAAGTGTAACTGGGAAACACTTCTGTATATGGAGGGTTAGAGAAGTTGAAGCTCCATTGTGTAAAATGGCAATTGATGTTAGGTCAATGGTTAATTTTAAATTTTGGGTTGATAGGTTTTTATTAACCAAAAATATTGAAACATATAGGCCTAAAGTGGAAGCATAAAGTGCAAAGTAGCCACAATCTCATTCCTTGCTGCAACTTAGACTTGGGTGAAGACATATTTTCAAAACTGAAGTTATGATGAACTTTTATAAAGTGTTTTGGTTTCAACTGGAGTATTGTATACAATTCTGGGCACCATACTTCAGGATGGTTTAACAAAGGTTCATGAAAGTGATTCCACATGTGACTTCGGGTACATGGATAGATTTTAGAAACTGAATCTGTTTTCCTTAGGCAAGGTTAATGGGAAATTTGATGGACATGTTCAAAATCATGAGGGATCTAGACAGAGTAAACAGACAGAAATGGTTCCCACTGATGCAAAGATAAAGAATCAGAGGACAGTGGTATAAAACAAAAGATAAAATAATCTACAGCAACACTAGGATTCTGTTTTTAAAATCAGGCTAAATTTTATGTATTTTTTGGGTAAGTGCCAATTGAATCAAGTTTTTTGCTTTGAGACTTCTTGCCACATCTCACCTCATTAACTATCTACCTCAATCCTCTGGGGCCCCTCTCATTTGATTCCAGCCCAGTCTGATCATGTGCTGTTCCCAGAACAATCAGTCTTTCAGCACATGTCCACCAAAACACAGGCATCCCTTGTACCTGCACAATCTTTAATAGGCTACTGTGCACCAAAACAAGTGTTGGCAATCCACCACAGCGTCTTACCAGCAGTATAATGGTACAGTAACCATAAAGCTATGCTGCTCCTGGCTGACACTACCTTGCACATACAACTCCATTCTTTCACCCTAGTTGCTGTTTGATCACACAGTCTACCTATCCTACCATTTCCTGATAGTCTGCTTGCATCCAGCCGTCATCTCCTGGAACCAGGTCGATCAGATTATCTGACTTATAGTATATAATGGACCCGAGTTGTGTCATGCTGTAGGAGAGCTTTTTGCCCCAGTGTCTTCATCCTCCTACTCAGAAGACTGCTCCCATTCTCCCAGTTCCACAGCGTCTGTCACATTATTTTGTGGCTTGCTCCAGTTGTCATATCACAATGTGCCAGACTACATTGGAAGGCCCAGCCCGAACAGTCCAAGCAGCAGAGTCACATTTTCAGCAGCTCTGTCATGTGCTCCAACATGGTCCATGGTTGCAGCATTTTCACCAACATGGTAAAGGTGCCACACCGGTTGAATGTCCAACACATTACATTAAAAAGGGAGTGTTTTGCACCAACCCTCTTCCCACCCCAGACCCACATAAATCATTCAAGTTTTCACTGCATTCACTAGAGTCCATCATCATACTTACATGACATGCAATGAAACATTTTTGGTGAGAATTCACCTATTTTTTAAGTTATTGCCGTGAACTTTAACAATTAATTAAGAATGTTACATCTTCAAGGATCACATTTTTTGATAATGATGGCTCATTGGCCCTATAGCCACCTCTTCTACATTCTTTAATGATCAACACACTGACTCTCAGAACCGTATTTACCTCAGACCTGTGACGGACTTCACTGAGCAGCTCCTAGGCATGACTGACCAGACCCCTTACTGCTGTACTTGCAGCTTGCCAACTGATGGCACCCAATTCCTCTGACCACTGGTGATGACTCTACAGAACAGACCATTGCCCATAGCCCATATTGTGCCCGGTTGAGCTGATGAATGAACCTGGCCAAGCCTTTGGGCTGTCTGTGATTGACAGTACTGGGACCCTCCTCATCAGCAGCAGCCTTTCCTTGACTGGACTTGCCCTCGCTCACTTTCCAGCTTTCCATAAAGGGCATGGATGTGAGGAATGTCAATCAGCCATGATGCTATTGAAGGCAGAGCAGGCTTAAAGGACCAAGGTCACGATCTTATTTTGTATAGTGTTATGGTAGAAAAAGCAATGTCAGCCGCACAGGTAAGTGCTACACACAGTTAGTGTTATATCGATGGATCAGTATGCTTTACAATGAGATGCACCCATAACCTCAAACCCCCACCCCAAACACACATACCTACTGGTATAAGAAGCCTACTTATATATCTGTGCAAACAAGACATAAATATGGCATTACTTATTACCTTGGGGGTCTAGCTTAAGCCCAAACAAACGGGCATACAGTGAGCATGCAAATCAGCAGTAAGTTAGCAAGTACTGAAAGGGGGTAACAAGGTGTAGAGCTGGATGAACACAGCAGGCCAAGCAGCATCAGAGGAGCAGGAAGGCTGACGTTTCGGGCCTAGACCCCTCTTCAGAAATGGGGGGGGGGGGAAACGGGGTTCTGAAATAAATAGGGAGAGAGGGGGAGATGGATAGAAGATGGATAGAGGAGAAGATAGGTGGAGAGGAGACAGACAGGTCAAAGAGGTGGGGATGGAGCCAGTAAAGGTGAGTGTAGGTGGGGAGATAGGGAGGAGATAGGTCAGTCCAAGGAGGACTGACAGGTCAAGGGGGTGGGATGAGGTTAGTAGGTAGGAGGTGGGGCTTGAGGTGGGAGGAAGGACAGGTTAAGGAGGTGGGGATGAGCTGGGCTGGTTTTGGGATGCGGTAGGGGGAGGGGAGATTTTGAAGCTTGTGAAGTCCACATTGATACCATTAGGCTGCAGGGTTCCCAAGCGGAATATGAGTTGCTGTTCCTGCAACCTTCGGGTAGCATCGTTGTGGCACTGCAGGAGGCCTAGGATGGACATGTCGTCTGAGGAATGGGAGGGGGAGTTAAAATGGTTCGCGACTGGGAGGTGCAGTTGTTTAGTGCGAACCGAGCGTAGGTGTTCTGCAAAGCGGTGCCTGTTTTTGCAGTGTTTCATTGTTAGTTGCAGGTTTCTACTTGCTAAGCATCCTGCAAGAGTAATGGTAGGATTTCATGAAGATTGAGAGGGGCTGGCAAACTTTTCATGCTAATGTCCTTGGTTAAGGGTAAATGTAGCTGGTGCCCAAGAATTGTGCCAAAATGATGTCTTGCGCTGAACGATATGGAGGCAACTCGCCGAAATCACCAGGCATCCACTCTGACTTCCAAATTGAGAATTGTCATCTAGTTTGTTTGGTAAGCAAGGAGACTGAATATTAACAAGGTGAACTGTGATATGAATAAGGCATTTAGCAAGAAATAATCCCATTTAACTAGTTACTTACTGCTATGAGAAACTTGCTTTTCTTGCATACAAGATGCAAATTGCTCCCAATGTCTAGAAAGATCTGTTGTACACAATTCTGCCACAAACTTTGCCATAGTCACGTCATTGAGGCCTCTAATAAAATTCTCATCTTTTGACTGGTTAGGATCTGGAATGCACTGCCTGAGAGTCTGGTACAGGCAGGGTCAATCAGGAGGAGGTGGTAGCATAATGGCCAATGTTAATGGCGTTGATGTTCTACCTGATATTCTGGAGCCATGGGTTCAAATCACACAAGGGCAGCTGTGGAATCTAAACTCAACTAATAAATTCTGGTGGGTGCATTTCAATAATGGCATGTAACTACTTGCTGTTTTAAGAAGAAGTCTTAATTACAAATGTCATTTAGGGAAGGAAATCTGTCATCTTGCCTGCGTTAAAGGAATAGAGTTGAAGCTATCGAGAGCAAAGTTTGTAATTTATATTACTGTTCTGCCATCAGTCTGTTTGCTGTAAACAAAATTAGTGGTGTAGTGGGCAGCAAGGAAAGTAACCTCAGAGTACAAGATCTAGGACTGGCAGATGGAGTTTAATTTAGGTAGATGTGAGGGGCTGCATTTTGGAAAGGCAAATCAGGGCAAGACTCATACACCTAATGATAAGGTGCTGGGGAGTGTTGCTGAACAAAGGGACCTTGGAGTGCAGGTTCACAGTTCCTTGAAAGTGGAGTCGCAGGTAGACAGGATAGTGAAGAAAGGGCTTGATATGCTTGCCTTCATTAGTCAGTGTGTTGAGTATAGGAGTTGGGAGGTTATGCTGTGGCTATACAGGACATTGGTTAGGCCACTTTTGGAATACTGTGTTCAATTCTGGTCTTGCTGCTACAAGAAGGATGTTGTGAAACTTGAACAGGTTCAGAAAAAAATTTAACAAGGATGTTGCCAGCTACAGGGAGAGGTTGGGGCTATTTTGGAGGCAAAGAGGTGACCTTAAAGAGGTTTATAAAATCATGCAGGGCATGGATAGGGTGAATTGCCAAGGTCTTTTCCCCAGGGTGGGTGATCCCAAAACTAGAAGGCATAGGTTTAAGATGAGAGAGGAAAGATTTATAAGGGGCAACTTTTTCACAGTGTGGTGCATGTATGGAAGAGGCCGAGGCTGGTACAATTACAACATTTAAAAGGCATCTGGATGGGTATACAAATAGGAAGGGTTTAAGAGGGTTATGGGCTAAATGCTGACAAATGGGACTAGACTTATATGGGATATCCAGGCAGCATGGACGAGTTGGCCCGAAGGGTCTGTTTCTATGTAGGACAGCTCTATGAATAAAATAGCTGTTTTTTCTCTAAGCACAGAAACTTGGTGAATGTTTTCTTCTAACCTGCATTTGGTGGTCAGGAAAACTGGGACTTTGGATAATTTGATTATCACATTTGTAACGAGGCTTCAGCGCCAACACACTCCCGCAGTGAGTCAGGTCACAGCTTTCTGAAATGACCCAGCAGGACACTCAGTTGAACGTCAGTTAGGAAGGGACAAAAATTGTGGGGCCGGAGCGGGGGCTGCGTGGAAAGATAGTTCTGAAATAAATAGTACTTGCTGTTACAAATAAGAACTTCGAGACAGAACTGGATAAACCCCTGCGAGAAGTACGGAACAGTAGGACAGAATAGACAAAATGGGCTGAATAGCCTAATTTGTAATCTAACCGTTCTATGAATAAACTCTCAGGGAGCTAAAATATCTTCCTCCCGCTCCTAACTGCAGCGGATCCATTATTATCCCACAGTTTTTTTTTCTAAACTCATTTTTAAAAAAAAAAATCACAAACTCGGCAGTCTAGTCTGATCATGAAGGACCCCTCCCGACGGGGGAAGGGAATCTTATTTTTCACCTGCGTCATACCCTTCACCTTGATGGGATGACTCAAACCGGGTTCGATCATCTGACATTTCCTTTCTTTCCAACTCCCACCCCCCGCCATCGCGTCGAATTTGAAAACGGGGCACTATTCAATTCCAAGGTGATTCAGCAAGGTACAGATACCGCTCCATCCCTCGAAAATCGTCAAACAACATGGCGCAGCGAGGCGGGGTGGACCACTTAGTGATTGACTGGCAACCTGGTCCAATCAGCGGCTCGCCTCTGGACAAAGACGGACAGGCCTTTTACCAATCGTGTTGTAGCGGATGGTGGGGGTGTGTAACACCGTCGCAGCGACCGGAAGTGACGGCTTCGGCCCGGGTGGGAGCTGGCGCGCACGGAGCGGAGAGGCGGACAAAATGGCGGCCGGTGGAAGTGGCATCCTGATCGGTGATAAACTCTACTCTAGTATCGCCCTAACTCTAGAAAACTGTCTGATCTCCGAGGAGAAACTTTCCATGACGGCTTCCGTGTCGGACGGCCTCGATCCGGAGGTGGAGATTGACCTGAGGATAGTGGGATGCGAGTTAATCCAGGCCGCCGGCATTTTGTTGAAACTCCCTCAGGTAGGGCCTGGGGCCTCGCTTTTGCTCTAGCTTTGGGCTTCACGGAAGCCGCTGGACCGAACAGTTGCTGTACTGTGGAGTGAATGTCTGTCTAGGCTGTAGTTACCTCTATTTCGGTGTGGGCGGGGGTTGGTTATCGAGATTGTGATCTTCACATTGAGGGAGGAAGAGACGGTGAGTGTTAATGGAAACCATGGCGGCCTCTTGGAATAACTGATGCTTCTAAATCTGTCTAATGTAGCATCAGATTAAAACTCTTGAGTTAATGCGTTTTGTTTAACTCATTTGCTATCCCCTATTAAAAACATATCAAATGGTGGAAAGGCTGTGTAGTTTTAAATAGTTCCATGGCTTTGTGCTGCTGTCGTGTGTGTGGGTGAAAAACAGGAAATTGGGTCAAGGCCACTTGTAGGTTTTCTGAAATCACCTTTCAGAGGGGCTGAACCTACTTACAGAAGTATAGAATCCAGTTAGTATTGTGGTTGAAATGTAGTTGTATTGTACGTTTGCTATTTTTAACTTTTTGTTAGAGTGTGACTGACTATTTTTTTCAATTTCCTGGTGTCCACGTCACAAAAGATCTGGCTCATAGCCACGCTGTGGGAGAACCCCCACCCTCCATTCCCAAAAAAGAACAATGCTTAGCATTTGGGAATTCTGGCACACCACTGTTTAATCCTGTATGACTGCTTTAATGCTAGAGCATATGTGCATGAGTCACTAGGATCCTGTGGTCTGGTGGTATTAATTTCCTCATCTCAAGTTGCTCCTGGTGATCACCAGTGGCAGACTAATTGAAGTTTATTCTGCATTAAGACTCGCATCCCTGAAACAGTTCAATTTGGAACAAAATATGGGTTTTAATTGCAATGGGTCATAAAAATTCCTAAATTAGAATCAGTATTCAAATTTGGAATTTTTATTTAGTGTGATCAGTGTCACCATGATTGTGTTTATTGCCTATTTTAATTGTCCTGTGATGGGGTTATTGTGCTGGAGAGATTTTTATTTCCAATTTCCAAAATCATTGACTGTCCTGTGGTGCAGGCTAGCATAGCATCAAAAGTCAGCCAACACAATATCGGACTTGAGTCATATTTAAGCCAGACAAGGTGGCTGCCACTGCTTTTGAAGGTTATATCAGTCCAGCTTTCAATCACTTTCTGATAGATGAATTTAAATTTAGCTTTGCAAAACATCATGCTGACATTTTCAGTTGAGGCTCTGATTTCACCATTCATTGCAGCAACCCTCAGTGAGACCATAACTGGAGTACTGGGTACAGTTTTAGTCATCACATTTGTATGCTGTTTTGTGTACATTAGAAGCAGTTCAAAGAAGGTTAATTCAACTGCTAACTGGATGGGAATGTGGGGTTATCTTGTAAGGGAAGATTAGATAAAGTAAGTCAGTGTCATTTAAACTGATCTTTTTGATAAGTGATCCTGATGGGACTTGACATGATGGATGCCGTAAGAATGTTTCCCCTTGTGGGAGTGCCTAGAACTGGGGACAGAGTTTAAAACCAATGGCTCTTCTATTTAAAATGGAGTTTGAGAGTTTTTCTGAGGAGAGTTGGTCTGTAGTATTCAGTTTCTCAGACAGCAGTGGAGACTGAATCATTGACTATTATTAAAGAAGGGTGCATACATTCTTGTCAAACGAGGGGCCCAAAGGTTATTGGGGATTTGCGGGAATGTGGAATTGAAGTCACAATCAGATTAATCATGATCATTTGGGTTTGAGGGAGCAAATGGCCTAATCCTGATTTTTTTTTTCTAATTAGAGGTGCTACTGTATTTCAAAACTGTGCTGAAAAGTTTAAATTAGCTTTTTTATTTAACTTGTGGATTTGCATGGACCAAACTAAGTCCCCTCAAAATCAATCAGAAAAGTAATGATCCAAATTGACTTGTATAATGTTTTCAGTTCCAGAGTTTGGGATCATGGAATTCTACCATGACAAATGGTGAAATTCAAATTCATTAAAAGTCTGGAATAAAAAGCTAGCCTAATGGTGACTCTGTAACCATTGTAAATATTCATCTGGTTCACCTTTGGGGAAGGGAATCTGTCATCTTTACCAAGCCTGGCCCACGTGTGACTGTAGAACCACAGCAGGGTGATTGACTCTTTGTGCTTGCTTTCTGGGCAATTAGGGATGTGTAATAATGCAATAACAAAAGCAGAAGTTACTGGAAAAGCTCAGCAGGTCTGGCAGCATCTGTGAAGAAAAAAATCAGAGTTAATGTTTCTGGTTCGGTGACCCTTTCTCAGATCACGAATGCATTAATATAATGTTCATTTCCCATGAGTGATTAAAAATAGTATGTTAAGTTTCTATTAATATTGAATCCACATACAGGCACATGAATTTACAAGGCAATGTTCTTTTTGTGGATTAGGTGGCGATGGCAACTGGACAAGTTTTATTTCAGCGCTTCTTCTATTCAAAATCCTTTGTGAAGCATCCCATGGAGGTAAGTGTAGAGAGTTTGAGCTGAAACTGGATTCCAAAGGAATATTCAGAATATTATCAGGATAATCTGAAGGTTGTTTGATCAAGTGCGGTTGACAAATACTTGGGGATGGAGGCTGCACTTGCCAGTCATAGTTGTTCTTGAGGAAACAATTAGATGTGCGAGGCAAGCTTAGTAAACACTGCAAATAAGTATCTCAACTTTTAATTAGTGGTTTTCGGCTGCATCACACTTCCCATTATTAGACCTAAATTAGTGCAAATATTTATTTTGTTGTAGTAATGAAACTCCTGTAAACCCATTTAATGTATGTCAAATCTATTTTATTGGCATCTGTTTGAGTGCACAATGCTGTTAAGTTTCCTCTGATCCTATGTTTTTGTAGCAACGTAGAGAGTCTTGATTAATTTCCTGCTTTGTGAGTCATGTTTCTGTGATTGCTTGAAACTAGACTTCCATTTACAGATTTTCCCTCATTTTGCAGTAGGTATGAGTGTGTATGATGAAAGTAGCCTGAAGTGATTATGATGGTGTTTATAAAAATATGAATGTTGTGCCTATTTGTATGCATCTTGTACACCATTGCTCATAGCAAATCACATGATCTGGGCTCTTCTGCATTTCTTCTTTTCTCTGTTCTAATTTTCTTGTTTGATTGGAGATACTGTGAACAACAAAGTGAGGCACGGAGCTTAACGATCCACCCTTCCAACAGGAAATAATTTTTGCCAGTGCTTCAGGCTACTGTGATGCAGGTGGGGAAAGTGATGCAGGCTTTCACTTTGCTTTCTAGTATACTGCCACCATATGATGTACTGAATGGTGTAGTGCCATGTAGCAGAGGAGCAGCTACTCTGGGGGCACAAGTTGGGCAGTAGGAGGGTTGAATGGCAAATATTGCGGAAAAGGAAAGTTTAAGGTGGACTTTACAAAATGTGATGCACAGGCTGCGGAGTAACCCTCCTGCAGACTAGAAATGCATAGCTATTTTAGTCAACTTGCTCAGACATATTATTACATAGATTTTTAGAAACTCTATAACAGTTTGACAGGGTTTAATTGAGAGTAAGCAGAGATTATTTAACTCATGTTTAAAATGTAACTATCTGGTGTTCTAGATCCAAAGTGTAAAATATACGAGTTTTCTGGCACAAAAAGTTTTGTGAGAAGCTAGTTTGTGAAAAGGACAGAAAGAAGGCAAAAGGGGATATAGACTAAGCGCAGGCAGTATGTTATAGGCAAAAGTGATGTTGGTAGAAAGTATGAGGAAAGCAGGATTTTTGAATGCAAAACTGGAAAATGTCGATATACACAGGGAGTGTTATGTGTCCTACATATGAATCATAAGGTTCATGTTAACATAGGATAATAAGTAATTAGGGGAATTGTATGTTAGCCTTATTACAAGGGTATCACGTTATAAGAGGAAGGAAGTCTTGCTGTAATTATTAGAACCTTGGTGAGTCTATTCTGGAATACAAGATTTGGCCACCTTGCCTGTGTAAGAATACACTTGCATTTGTTCAAAAAGATGTGATTGTTCTTCTTGAGGAGAATGGATTTATTCACTTGAATTTAGAAGGATGGCTGATTGTCTAATTGACATATAAAATTCTTAGAGGTCTTGACAAGGTCAATGCTGAGAACCACTCTTTGCTGGCTGGATGCTGGTAGTTTCAAGGTTTGAGTCTTCATTTTGAAATTAACTATCTCAGAGGGCTGTGGTTGTACAGTTTAGTATGTTCAAAGCTAAGCTTGCTAGATTTACAGGCATTAAGGGGGTGAAATGCTGTGAGATTTGGGCAGGAAAATGGAGTTGATTTTGAAGTTCCTCCATGATCTTGTGGAGTCATACAGTAGCCATAAGGAGCACAATGGCCTACTCCTATGCCTTTTATTCTATCTCAATTAATTTTCTTGCTGTTGATGCAACTTGCTGCCCATAAATTGACTCGCAGATTTGCCTGTGCAACAACGTGGCTGTCCACACAATCTGAATTCGAACACTTATGGGCTATACCTATTGTTTATTATTCAAGATCTATTTGATTAATGATGGCAGCAGCATCAAAACTAACATGTTTAAGAAAGCATTGTCCGTGAAGTGTGCATTGTAAGGAATGGCAAGAAATATTTGATGGGGAATTTGTTTTTATTTTAAAGAGCAGGTGCATCAATGGTGAACCGAGGAATGTGTGATTGGAATGTGGGAAATAAGAACATGAGTAGG